GAGTTTTACGCCACTTGCAACACAATAAGGTCATAAAAGTGCCCAATATTTTAATTTAGTTTTAGTGGAGGTTTTACGGCGCTCGCAACTGCATAAGGTCATTTGAGCACCAGAAGATTAGAGGTGTTACTAGAGAGTAACAAACATGAAAAAGAAGAGGAGATAAGGACGATAGATGTTTGATAGGAAAGAAGAAGCAAACCACACCAGAGCACCCGCCAACCACCCACCTGTGCCGAAGATTGTGTTGCAAGAGAGTAACAAATATAAAATAGGAGAGATAAAGATGACAGTTGTTTAATAGGAAAGGAGCAAACCAAACCAGAGCACCCGTCAACCACCCACTTAGAAAGGGTTTTACAGAACTTACAACACAATTGGACATATAATAAGTGCGGAAGATCGGAGATGTTACAAGAGCGTAAAATACACAAAAAAGGAGGAGAGAAAAGGACGATAGATGTCTGATATGAAAGAAGGAGCAAACCACACCAGAGCACACGACAACCACCCACAGATAGTACAGTTTGTTTGTTTCAGTAAAGAGAAGCAAATCGACACAATAACGGTCATTTAGGGAGAGGAAAAAGTAAAACAGACAAAAACAACAGAGGGAAAGTAAAGTAGTAGGACCTAGATGTGGCACTCTCCAACCTCCCACTGTCTGGTTGAGGTGTCTTATTGATGCCATATTCTTTAGTATAACATACCCTTTATTATTTCATACTTATAAATTTTTTAAATCTTCGCCCATAAGCGTGATGTAACTATTTCCATAGGGCTCGAATCTGTGAGGTAACTCATTTTACAACAAAAAAAGGACAGAAACCATCCACTTTAGATTTCAATCAACTCACAAATATGGCTTTTTTTTTTGGCTAAATAAAAAACTCTCATTTTGGACGTGCTAAAGGCTGAAACTTACTTTCACAAAGATGAAATACAAAAGACAGGAGAATAGTTCGCACCATATAAAAAGTATATTTATTCTGTGGATCACAAATGACTGCATGGCTAGGATAAAAATATAAGTCATAATATATGTATGTATTCATGCACAAAATTCAAACCTTAGACCCCAGCACATAAGTTATGAATTGGCAAATATTATGGCAAATACGAGTACGTAGCCCACTTCACATAAACAATATAAGATCTGCTTTATAAAAAGATTCTCTGCCTCAAGGTACTTTCACTGATGATTATATAGCAAAGAAGTGTACTCAGTTTCAATCACTGCTCAGGAAAGTGTCTATGGGATGAAGAGACAAGAAAATGATTTGGCATAGATATTGATAAGAACCAATAACAACAAAAGAAATGAAAACAGCAAACCCTGCCAGCTCACAAGGCACCAGATCTCAAACACCTTATTCAAACGTTCCCCCTAGTCTGAACAAATAGTCGAGCACAGATAATTTGAACACGCAAAACTCAAATTTCACAGATAGATCAAACAAACCACTCCCTGACTGACCCGCTAACTTTTTCTAAATTATTGGCAGCACAGCGTTCTTGAACACCCACATGGATGTGTCGAACAGCTTACCTCAAAAAGCCTGACCATAATTTTCCCTCACGGTTGTCCCCCATTTCAAATTGCACTGCTCGCATGATGGAAAATAACACACTCATCATCATCGTCATCAAGAGTATCAGGTTTATATGAACCTACCAAGCTCATCTGTGCACAATGTGTTACACACACTGCTGGTATCGAGACATATCAATGCACATTTGCCGTCTTATGACAAAAAAATGTATATGCCTAATTAGGTCAAGTAGCGTTGTTCTACGGGGTCATGGCGCATCTTTCTACCTACGTTTTATGGTTGTACAATTAAAATTAAGGACGTTTTGGGCTTTTGAAAATATGCATTGTGACCTAATTACAATTACATAATTTTAATCAATTACTCCATAACTATTAACTGAATACCTCAGCAAATCTGACAAAATTTACACCTGCCAATGAATATTGATATAAAATAATCAGATCGACCAAATCTTTGTTAAGTTGAAACACACACAAAAAGGTAAGTTTTTTGCCTCTCTTGTAAAATTTCATTTATTGGCATGTGTATGTTTTTCTGTCATAAGACAGCAGACATTACCTGCCGTGTGCGTAAGGAGCAAGAACCTCCTAAAATCTAGTATGTGGGATGTGACTGACGACAGTGTGGAGCTGCACTGGGCCGCACAGTGTTGGAATTATGTTTGTGTTTGTTTGCAAGTGTGTCTATGACTGCATTGTTGTTTGAACGAGAAATTATAGATTAGAATAGAGGGAGGGGTGCCTTGACTAGTGTTGCTTACATCATCATGATCCTGATCTGACATCGGAGCAAATTTTAAGTCACAAGGCTCATCAGCGTCACTCTTAAACTCTTCCTTTCTCTTATTTCAACATGGGACAAGATGTGCACACTATCCATCCTTATATCATTTTATCGTATTAGGTACTAGTCATGATGGCAAAGAAAAGAAAATGTCACAGTTACTTCCTTTGATTTTCTTCAGTATCTCCCTTTTTCTGCAGTTATCACTATCACCGTTTACTCGAATAACAAATGTGTCAGTCACATTTGAAGACCTCATTTGAAAAACAACAGTAGTCACTGGCAAAACATTGAGGACAACTGCCTTTCCTTCACTAGTTCCTGCGTACAAATGTTGTTTGTTCCATATATGAATGTTTTAAAAATATGGTTAACTTGTGACAACAGCCCTTTCTGATAAAAATAAAAGTGACGGACCCACCGCCGTCCAGATACCGGTGCTCGACTGTATTATGAATCATAGTGGCCCTGGCAATGTTAAAGCAGACTTGAAGACAGAACAGAGCCAAATTTACCCAAATCTCACTGACATTGTACAAAATGCACAAGAGTAGACATCTTTAAGTACCAATGCAAGTAAATTTTAAACAAGTCATATCATCTTGCAGTGTGAATTTTCATTTTCTACTGTATGAACAGTCACTAAACATACTTGTTAATTTACTCAATTGACTTCTTATAAACTGCACTTTCAGACACTTTCAGATTTACTTTAAAAAAACACTCAATTCAGTTTTATATCTTTACTGCTCCCCCCCCCCTCCCACACACACACACCAATCCACTTAAAGCTCAACTGAAATTCTAAACCAATACAAAAAGTTACAAAGCAAATATTTCCTGAAAGGAGAACATTTTGAGGGGGGCCATTGAAATATTACGTCTAACCCATCTCATGCTAACACACAGTCATATTGGTAGCATATCCAAGTTACTAGTTGTATGTAGGCAAACAACCATCTTACCCCACGCATTGAGACATTCAAAATCATCAAAAGTAATATCCATAACATGACAAAGGCAAAGTGACAACAGTAACAAAATACTGGCTATAACGTTGAGGCTGTGAATGTGAAAGACAATGCAATAGTGGGGGGAAATGGGATACAGGCGGCATTAAACAATCTGTAAACCCTGTTGGCGGCTTTCTTGTTGAGGGACAGCTCACTGTGAGGTTATTGAAAGCAATCAGAAAGCAGATGACAAGGGTGAGAGGTATATAATTCATCAGTAAGTATAATGAGTGGAGCAAAGGAAATACTGCAGACTTGGCACACATCAGCGCATTAAAACTTTACATTAATAAAATTATAATAATGGTTCAACCGAGTTCAACTCATGGGAAAACACTGCACTGACATATAAAGATTATCTAAAAGAGTTATCAAAGTAGAGGATTTTTTAAAAAAGATCAATTTTACCACTAAAGTTAATCTCCATACTCAAATGTTTAAAAAACAAACATTGAAGACTTTAAAAAATCAGAGACTGTACCAGAAAAATACCGCTTTGTACATGGCCACTACAAAGTTAATATAAAAATGTTAGGGTTGTTAGTCTAATAGCAGAAACCAAAATGTCAGCACAGTAAACAGATTCAGTGAGTTTAGACTCCAGGAAACAACATCAGTCTAAAAAATTCTAAAAGAAACAAGAGGGATTCTTAAAAGTGCTACAATTTATGGCAGAGTAACAAAACCCAAAGGGAAAAACTAAACACTATGAGAACTTGACTGCTTGGCACCATCTCAACATACCCAAAACATAGAAACAAGGGGATGCGACCCTTACTGTGGGAAGGCTCAGACCAGACACAGTTACCCTCCTTATTACTCATTAGAATTATGAAACTAAAATAAACTAAAAAATGTCGAGCCCTTGTCCATTGTCTCAGTTAAATAAGAACAAAACTACATTAGTGCCCGCATAGAAATACGACAGGGCCTCTGAAATGCATCCATAAGGACTGGACCACAAGTGTAGTATAAAAGGAAAACATTTAAAAAGACGTTAGTCACTTGTGATCACATGTTTGAAATAAAACTATTACCTTATAGTACAGCACCATCCTTCTTACGCTCAATTAGGAGAGTTTGTTTGCTCTAAGTTAGGGGGGAATCAGGAGGAGATACATGACCCTGTAATCAGCTAGAACAGGGCACTAAAGGCAGTGACTTGAGAAGAGGTCTCCCACAAAACCACTCTCTCCAATATGGATGAATTGTGAAACACGTCCAGACTGAAAATACATAAGCTATACCCAAGTAAACTTGTATGCTGACAACCTAGTCAATAATGAGCTACAAGATACAAGCTGTTTAAAAATCAAACAAGACACAAACTACTGACAAGAGCAAAATTGGAAATTTCAAAATAAATAAATAAAAGACAACACTCCCCCCTTTCCAGATTTGAAATTTAAATTTAAATTTTAAAAAACAGGTAGGTAACTCCCCTCCCTTAAAAAAAAAAAAGTGTCAAAGAAAAATTCTTCAAATGTGACATAACTTTTGGGGACAATTTACAAATTTCACTTTTAGTAAATGAGCTTCACGCGACTGATTGCAAGACAATTGTATTTACATATACCCACAAACACACTCATACAAACACACACATACAAACACACACAATCAATGCACATACACACACACACACACACACACACACACACACACACACACAAGCAAACACATACGTGCCTAGACACACACAAAACACACAGGCACGCACGGACACTGTGAGAGCACATACAAATGTTAAATGGGTACAGGCGAAATTTTCCACACAAAAACTTGTATCTTCAGGTCATGATGGAGTGCGAGGTGTGAAGTGAGTCACTTGAAACATAAAACATCTGTTGCAAACACGTACTGCCCTGTCTTCCCCAAAGTGAGGCAGTGGGACAAAATTACTTGAGCAGCGACTGCAGTAGATCTGAAATATACAGAAACGAAAGAACAAACAATATCATACTGTATCCATGTTCTTCACTCACTTCGGGAGTGAACTTTACCAAATACTCAGAAACAGTCATCAATTCAAAAAAAATAAAATATAATTGGTTTATGCTGTTTCTTTTAGTAAGAGTTGTACGACACTTGCAACACAATAAGGTCATAGGAGACTTAAGTCTGACAGGGTTAATGATCCATTACAACCTGAGGCCAATTGGCGTTCAACAAATTTGTATTATATAATATGTATCACGACGTGGTGGAATCAGGCACTTGTCAAATTTGGGGCACATGGAGTTACTAGTATCATCTTAAAACCTTGCCCATTTGTCTATCTTTCAAAGAACAAAATACCCAGCCATCTTGAACAGAAGTCCGGACATTTGTGATTAAAGGCACAAAAATTGTAAATTCTCCATTTCCAAGGCCTCTTTAGCTATGGAAGTCACCAAACTTTGGCAGTCCATTTCTCATTAATTTCACCTGTGAAACCAGGTGACCCCCATCTCCTTTAAAATAAATAACCAACTCCTCTCGTGACTTAAAAATACAACGATGCGATAGACTGAGAAATGAACTTTCAAAGTGTCTTCGTTTGGTCAAGACTGCTTCAAGGGCTGAATTTTTATGTACTTTCAAAGTATCCTCAGATCTGAGAAGTGTCGTGCGTTCTGCGATTGAAATGGCATGCATCGCTGCTCTAGGTGCGAATTGAGATTCCTTGCAATGCCACTCAAGGTGCTAAATGGATTTTTTTCCCAAAAAAATCAACAACACTAGGCAAAGCATCTAAACTGGCAAAACAACAACATATTAAATGAGGACTCACCTTTCCACAGTTACGACAGTGATGTCGCCTACGAACAAAAGTGAAGGGCACTTGGCATGACATGCACTCACTGGTCTGTTCATCCGGCAACCACAAAGGAGGATCTAGTTTGAGGAGTTAGAAGAAAGATCTTTTCGTCAAACGACAAAAAAAAACCATACTAAAATTCAGTATATAGCATGCGCATAAAGTACAGGGTGATCAAAAAAAAACCTAAAATTTTTTTTGTTAATATCTTCCTCCACACTGAAGTTTTGCGCTTCAAATTTGTACACAACATTTGGAAGTCAAAAGGAATTCGTCTGATATTCGTTTTAAATAAATCTACAGAATAGTTTTGCTCTACACAGCGCATAAAAAAAACAACCCATTTTCAGCTATGTCCCCGTTTTTGTGGTATGACGCACTAGTTCGCATAAGGCCTACCACTAAAAATCCCAACAATTAAGCCATACTGCATACTACAGTAGTTTAACAGGCCAACAGAACTTTGCAGATAGACTGCTGAGGTCATGGTTAAGATTAGTAAAGAGCAGAGAGCTTTTTGTATTGAACATTTCCTCACCACCAACTCATTTAGTAAGTTTCGCACAAGGTAAGGAAGTAATGTAGTGCCCTTGAGGTTTTCTTTGATGTGAAGGATGGAAATGGTCCATCAGTTAGTACCTGTAGAGAATCAGAACAAAAAATTCCCAGACAAAACGACCACTTTAGGCCAAACACACATTTCGCATCCCTTGAAACATCATCAAGGTGCAGAATTCAGTAGATGAGCCCCAGGAGACGTCTGTCCGTAGACGATGTCTGCAGCAATGATTTTCCTACATCTCAACTGTCCGGATTCTCAAGGCAGATCTTATCTACGACTGTACTATTTTCCTGTTCGCAAAGCTATCAGAGGAAAGCAATGTGTTCAGGATTCCTTGATCGTCTTGAAAAGCGTGAACATTTTATTCCTTAGTGAAGCCCATATTCATCTTTCAGGTTATATCAACTCCCCAAATGCTGTCTATTTGGGCAACCTCCCCCCATCTTCCTATTGTCTCTAGAAATAGTTCCATACTGTAAAGTGTATTTGGAGTACTCATGTTTGAGTGGATCTTTGTGTTCGTCCACCGTTGAACATAACGAACAAAGCGTTAAAAAGTGTAGAGTCCAAAAGAGGACATATAGAGACCACTTGTTCTCTAAATTCCAGAATATAAAAAAATATTTTTTAAACTATGTATGAGAAAAGAAATATTGTTTAAAGGTTACAAGGAAGGAAATATAAAATTTTTTAAGTAACAGGAAAGGAAAAAACAAACCACCCATTTCATGACTTTCCTTACAAGATCGTTTAAAATTGGTGCATTTTGCATTTATAAGTGTTTTTTATAAAATCTATTTCCGTTTTCAAAATAAGCTTCTTTTTGGGAATTCTTTGTCAAACAAATTCCTTTTGAATTAATTATATCTATTCCAAATTACAACATTCTAGTACAAATTTTGTGCGAGATATTTCTTTTTGGATCACCCTGTATATGTGCATACATGAAACAAAAAATTATACAGTGCTCTCATTAAAACAAAACTTTAAAAATGAGTTTGGAGAAACAAAGCACACAGAATACATTTAAGTTGTGATTAACTCTATCTTCGGCAAGCTGCTCCCAGCGGCTCACGATCGGAACCGCTGTGCCGGTGAGCCTCTGGCAACGGCTCGGGAACACACCTTTACGACTACTTCGACAACAAATTACATTTCAGCAATTTCCGAAACAGGTCTCTTTTGCTGGTAGTTCATTCATTAGATGAAGAACTTTTGAAATAGATTCACTTGTTTTGATTTAATGACCCACTTAGTGACGTTTTTGTCATTTTTAGATTCAGTACCATAAAAGGGCCCTGACATAGTGGGTTTACCCTCCTCAGAGACAAAGAGTTAAAGGACTGGCATCAAAGCCTATAAAAAAATACATTGAAATGTCGGAGATTTTGTCCCCTGAATAGGGTACATTTGCAAAACATATAAGAAGTAGACTATACAATACCTGTATAAAATACCAACAGTCAACAATTTTTCAAAATCCAAGATTTAAACTCAGCAGATCTCCAGTGCTCAGCTTCACTCTTTAATGCAAATATTACAGAAATGTACAGCATAAAAGGTAAGAATGTGTCTTAACTTAGTATATGGTCAAAGATGACAAGAACATGTTGAAACATTGCACCCTTTCCCTATAAATGTAACACTAAAGGCAGTTTAAACCAAATAAAATTATGTTGTGATGTCTACATGTACGTTCTTCGCATCACCACCCAATAAAAAATATAAAAATGCCATCAAGTGCAGGGGAAAAAGATGACAAACACAGCAGAGTGATAGTAAAACGGTAGCATCTACAACTGGCACACTTCAACTATCCATTCTCTAGATACAAATCTCAGTCAAAAGTATAAATAACTTTTCATAAAAAAAGGAAAAATAGAGGAGACCAGCCTTGAGAAATCGTAAGGCTTGAGAAATCACAAATCAGAATGCAAAGACCTACCCTGCCGTTGGCCAATGCTACGAGTGCGACGGCTGGCACGAATGGCCCGATAAGCTGCTCCGAGAGGAGTTGCGTCTTCTGTCCTCTCCTCATCCCCTAACTCTGCCTTATATGAGCAGTTCATGTCAAAAACTGCCCGCAGGATGTTCCTTAAGTCTCCAGCATAGTTTGTCTGAAGCTGGTCAGCCACACCTAGAAGTAAAAACATAACATATGCAATAAAAATAATGTATATTTCAGTGTGCCATAACTCTGTTTAAAACAGTGTCTGTACAAACATTGATGGTATAAGATACTAGCAAACTTTAATTATAAAAGCAAACTATAATTATTTCAAATATATAAACACCATTTTTGACATTGATGCAGTGAAAACAAAATAACAGTAGTAATATGAAGATGACCAACGCATCTGCAGAGAATATTTCCCAAGCCAAACCAAAGAAACAATGATAAAGATGACTTGTTGTTTAGGCCAATGAGACCAATTCTGACATATGAGGGTCTGCCAAATTTTAAGCATTTAAAAGACTCATGTCCACCTGCGAATGCAAAGAGCTTGAAGGCTTTTCCCTTGACTCCCACATTTCTAACTCGTGATGCCTCACATTATTTACTGCTCTCCAACAAAGTCTGCCGGAAGTAAAGCTTTCCCATGTCAGAGGGATGACGTAGAAGTCTTTCAGCGATATTTTCAGGGTGGGTTTCATAGCCCTCTTTGGTGCCCAACTTTGTGTTTCCCTGAAGACAGCTCAGAATAGAATGCTGCCTTTGGGATTCTGAAATCAAGGCATTCTTACAACATGACCGTAGAGCAAAGATGAGTTGATAAACACTCTGAGAACGAATTTTACTTTACTTTTCAGATCCAGCAGTCATCTGCAGACCGATATGGCAAAGAATTTACAGAGTATTTATCAGCTGCCTTTTGTCGCTTATAGAGTATTCTAGACATCTCGGGAGCTAGGTAAGTAGGCTCTATGAAGGTCACTAAGTTCGGGGCAGGTAAAAAAGTGGTGTGAGACTGATTTATCCTTGCAGTCACACAGCAAGCAGGCAGGTGGGGTATCCCTATGGATCCTGTTCAGGTAGGAATTCAGTGGTATGTGTTGTGCTTGCAGGCAGACAATAGTCACTTGTTCTCTTCAACTCACTGAATTTTGTGCATCTATTGAGTTGGGAGCTGTCATGTGTGCAAATAATACAGTTCTTCCAGTTTTGCCCATGACCCAAGAACAACAAAATGTAGAAGGCTCCCTATTCAGTTTAGTTTAGTTTTTGTAAGGTTTTACAGCGCTCACAACTGCATTAGGTCATATGAGCGCCAAGGGGTGGATGTCAACAGAGAAGTCCAAACGGGGAATCAGGGTTACTCTGCTCACCTCTCTAGCCTCAACAGCACACAGTCTGCTTCGACTATCAAAGCACCCCGGAAATAGTAGTTCACAAGACAATGACAAACATACAAAAGAAGTACGGTTTTTTTTGTTTTAGTTCTTTAGTAGAGGTTTTACAGCGCTCGCAACTGCATAAGGTCATATGAGCGCCAGAAGATTAGGTGTTACAAGATAGTAACAAACATAAAAATAAAAAAGAAGAAGGGGGGATAAGGAGGATAGATGTTTGATAGGAAAGAAGAAGCAAACCACACAAGAGCACCCGCCAACCACCCACACAAAAGAAAGAGGAAAAATTACGATAGTAAGGATGAGGAAAGAAAAAGCAACAGTTCCCCCTATTCAGAGGCTAAAAAGATTTATGATCACTTCAGTAGAAGATAAGCACTTTATTAGTATTTGCTCGCCCCAAAGTGAAACACTAACAGATTATTACCATGATATCAAATAAACCAACAAAAACAATAACTTAAAGGATGATATAGCAAGTCAATGAAAATGTAACAATCAAGGGCACAGGGCACAGGGCACCGAAGGCAGTGACTTGAGAAAAGGTCTCCCACAAAACAACTCTCTCCAATCATAGATGAATTGTGAAACATGTCCACACTGAACATACAGATTTTTACCATGATATCGAACAAACCAATAAAAACCATAACTTAAAGGATGATAGCAAGTCAATGAAATAGTAACAATATAGATACGCTAGCAAGAATAGAATACACACAAAATGTTTGGCAATAGTGATATTTCATAAGGCACCATGACAAGGCTAAAAAACTTTCAAAGACAAAAATCATATAAAACTTACCAGAGATGCAGACAAAAAGGCGATGGATCATATCATTACTACTGCGAAACTGAGCACGCACTTTGGATTGAGTAGCTTTCTCAGCGGCCTCCATTGCAAGAGCAATTTCTTCCTTATCAGCACTGTCAGAGGTGTAAGAACTTGTGTCACTGCTGGCACTAGAACAATTAGACAAACAAGAGTTTTAATGTTATCGAGTGGAGATAGCACCAGAAGGAAAAAGTTATAAGTTTACACATATCACACAGATGTTAACATCATATATATGCATTCAGTGAAAAAGACACTGACAGGACAATGAACATTTGAACACATGAATAATTTTACACACAACACAAAATAAATTTGCCTAAATGAAATATCCATCGCAACATCTAAAAGTCAACTAAATTAACAAAATCAATTTGCATGCATGCTGCATACACACAAGTTACATCAACAAAATATGCCATATCTGTTTTCGTTTCATGAGGAGACTATTTCAAAATAACGCCAAAGTAACCAATCACTAACATCACCTTCCACAAAAGTACAAATGAAGTCAAAATAGCTGTATTATACAGAAACTGCAATACAATGAAATATAATATCATGAAAATAGCCATGCCAAACAACATGTCAAGAAGACATTAATACTGTTGATAAAAACTGTTGATACTGTAGTCTCTTAAATAATAAACGCGTTCAAGCTTTAAACAAAAAAGACATCTCTGATACGAAATGAAATAAAGAAAATCTCATAAAACTCTAGGCTAAACCACTGAGAACAATCTGTTCACCATTATAGAGACTTAGCAACCAAGGACAACATTGGCACTCACCAATCGTTATCGGGTGAGCGTTTTGCAAGTTTCTCATCCCGCAAAGCCTGTGACTTCTTCTGCTTTGCTTTGCCAACCGACAATCTACTTTTGTGAACCCCCTGTCCACTGTGCTTCTTGTTTTTCACTTTCGATGGTCTTGTTTGAGAAAGTGGGGGCTGACTGCTTACACTGCCAGTACCCACAGATAAGCTGGATTTGTCATTACTACCACCATCTACATCACCCAAAATTTGATCACATGTTTGTGTAGCACTCTGTGAGGAATGAGGCTGTCCTTGCAACTCCTCAGATGTCTCTGTATTTTCTCTCACATCATTTGTCCCACTTGCTGGTTCCTGTGTCAGCAGTGAACATGGTCTAGAAGCAACAGCCCCCTGAACAGACAATGAGTCAGGGCCCTGCTCTTCCTCAGGCACCTGGGACGATGAAGGCACAGGGTTCTCAACTGTGGCAGTTTCAATGGGAATTTCCGACATAGAATGAGACTGTGAGGAAGATGCAGGGGCTACATCTGCAAGTTCTTTTCTCTGAATAAGCAAAGAGTCTGAGACGGTATCACAATGATTGTTCGTATCAGTATTTGAATCGAGACAATAAGCACTTTCAGTCTTTAAAAAGCCTGAATTAGCATCTCCATCGATTGCCTGATCTTTCTCTGCAGAATCACAACTGTTTATACCCACAGAAGGGACACGACCTCCTTCACAATGGTCAACCATTGTAGAATTACTGACATCAGCCACTGAATTATCACACTGAGAAGAAGCTTTGTGGGTCTCAGTACCACATGAATGATGTGTGTTACACATCTCTGCAGTATTATCACTCGTAGATTTTTCAACATTAAGCTGACAATGGTCATTAAGTGCTGGTAAATCCTGACTGTCCACACTCGGGCTATTGCCACATTTAACTTCACCGCTTGTCACATCAACAAATGAGTGGTAGTCATTCGGAGTACTGGGCAGATGAGAGTCCGAAGAGGAAATCGTATTGTGACTGTCAGACTGACTTAGCAGGTCACTGTACAGTCCAGAGTCAATGCTGTCACATTTACTGAGGCCACTGGATAGCCCTGACATAGAACTGTTGCCTTGTGCAATGAAAGACAGAGTGGGGGAGGCTGGCAAAGCAGATGAGCTCTCTGTAGGAGCTGCTGAATTCAGACCAGCAGATGCTTCTTGGTGTGAGCCTCCTTCCTCTGAAGCTGAGGTGGAGGCTAGAGGATCAGCACTACACTGTTGATCTTCCGATTTTGGAGATATTCTGTCCCTAGAAGAACTGTGTGTGTCCACGGATGGGTTCGGCAAAGATTGCCCTGCAGTCACGTCAGCTGGGATACTGCTGTTCTGAGGGTGGCTTGTGATCGGTGGTGCAGCTAAGGCACATTCTGACTCATTATCAACACTTTTAGGCACGGAGCAGTCTACACTTTTGGGCACAGCCTTATCTGACTGAGAAGATGGCAAATCCTTTGTCTGTGGGTCACTACTCACTGTAGACTGCAGATCAACAGTTGCAGAACTGCCTGGAATGGAAACAGAGGATGTGGGGTCGGAGAGCACTTCCAAAGAATTGTAATTTGTATTCACATCATTTACAGCCTCACAGTTCCCAGAACCACCATCAGATGTATGCACATCTTTAGCTTTCTGCACATCGGATACTGGAGCTCCTTTCTGCTCCATTTTCTCTGTAGCCGATTCCTCTCCTGAGAAAGAAGAAGAAGATGTGGAGGCAGTATCCGATCCCTCAGGATCAGGAGCAGTTGACTGTCTCTGTGCACTTGACTGGCTACTCCGATCACTACCTCCCTGGGCAGATGTTTTGTTGTTCAACATGCGAGAAGCTTCAAAGTTCAAGGCTAAAGCCTCCAGGCGCTCAGCTATCTCCAGAGCTGTTAATTCACTACCAACACTGTTGTCGTCACCTTCAGACTCATCCTTTTTCGATGTGTGGGCAGACTTCCGACCATTGTCTTCATGTTCAGCAGCAGCGCTGGCACTAGCTTTCTCCTCTTCCAGGCCGGCAAGGAAGGAAGGCTCAGCTTGGCTGCATAAAGCAGATTCCAAGGAGCGCACCTCTTCTTCCGACAGAATGTTGAGAAGTTCCCTGAAATACAGCAAAATTTCTTTAACAAAGCACGGAACAAATATGAATTTCTTCCACACCTGTGCATATTAAAAAAATGGGATTTCAGTCTGGTTATAAACACCCTCTGAACATGAAGCAGCAGAAAACAAAATGCACTGGTTCAGGTCAATAACATAGCAACTTTCATATTAACTCATTCGCTACGCCGAGCCATGAGCAGCAGCGCATCGAAAGTGTCTTCCATACGCCAAGCCGCCTCCCACGGCTCCAGAACCGACTTATGATTCTAGCTTTGATTTTATTCCATTCCACATATCAATGTTAAAATAAAGGTTATAATATAACATTGACTTCCGGGTCAAACGTTTCCACCGAAAATCGGACGTTTTGATTCAGTTTTGAAACGCGATTTCGAAGTATATGTGACTTTCGTCTTGTCGTGCCGCGATGCCTAAATTATAGCCCAGACACCAGTTTTAGTACTTTTACACAACAAAATATATCATTATTTTGCTCACTAAAGAAATGTAGGACTCTTCTTTAGAATATTGGTACTATTGGACTCAAATTGCAAGTGCTCTGCTATTGAGAAATCAATATGAGTGCTAGATCTAGGTCTAGATCTAAATTGTAAAAATCTATTTTTCTCCCCAAAATCTATTTTTAGGTGCAATTACACAAAAAGTACCACTCAAGATATGTATAGGTTTATTCCAAATGCAAATCTGAATAATTCCATCTGAGATACAAGTGTTTTTTTCTGTTTGTGAATGCATCTTGTCCTTTTTTCAAGATTATGAAAAAAAAAAAAATTTTTTAGAATCGGATGTTATAATCCAAATGCACAAATTTTATGGAATGCATGTAAATAACCAAATTTTTCAAAATTTCCCGAATCAATATTCATTTATGGTTATTTTGATGTATCATTTGACTAGGTGCAAACATATTTTTTGAGTTTCACTAACGATCATTAATTTTTTTATTTTCAAATTTTATCCGCATCAAAGCAAAATTGTGTTGCATAATCACCTCTTACAGGAACGAAAGTTGGAAAATACAGAAATAAACATTACAGAGGTATCTACAAACCATACTGAAAATTTTGGTATTTAATATGTTGACATTTATTGGAATTTGTGGCCCCAAAGACCTGCGAACTGCGCACTAGTCACCATCTCATTTCGCCCTCCCGAAAAAAAATTTGTCCTCAAGCCAAAAATAATACGTAGCGAATGAGTTAAGGATTTAAGCCCACCTTTTGAAAAAATCTCACCTTCCTCCATGACCTAAAAAAAATTTCATGGCATGAAAATTGTTTACAGGCAACTTTTAAGAAAATTCAGTCATAAGATTCCTTCTTTGTCAAAACACAATTCAACATTAAATCTGTTTTAAATCTTCTTGTACTCATTTGCAGTAGAGCTAATGCTCCAGCTTGAAGAAAAAGTCCATTGTGAAAGTTGAACACGAAAACAGAAGCAACATTACATACAGTATCAATCTTGACAAACATTTTGAAACACCTTCATCACTTCTATGACTGAAATCTGCAGTCCAAAGCATGATGTCACAAGAATGTCAATTTAGTGTTAGTAAGAGTGTCACAGCACTTGCAATCCAATTAGGTCATATAAGTGCTGAAGATTAAAGGCGACACAAAGGAGTAACAAATGAAAAAGAAGAAGGAGAAATAAGGACCATAGATGTTTAACATGAAAAAAAGAAACATACCACACCAGAGCACCTGCCAACCACCCACACAAGAACGTCAATGGACAACACAATATAGCACCGACAATTAAACACGATTGCTCGTTTGAAAAATGTGTGTACTAATTTTTAACTCGACAAGCCACATCTCATTGTTAAGAGATTTGGCAGTAAACTCAAATCAAGCATGCCAAAGCAAGGCAATTTAACATCATTAAAAAGTTTTAATTTATATCAAAAGTCCCTTTTGGGCCGATGACATCTAATGAGAGGGAGCCTATCTCAGTTTCAAAGGCATGTAGCTGAACAGAATGAAACGGGAACTCTTTCCGACCAGATGGCATATCTTTCGCTTCCTTTACACTTTAAGCTTTTACATCAATTGTATATACCAATGGCATGCTTCTGATGTCTCAAAAAGAGCAGATACTCAGAAAGCATGGGAAACATATTTGTATATATTAGTAGTACACTGAGTAAAACAGAGACACAGTGCTAAACAGTTGAGTACATTTCACAAAAGTTACATCATTCACATTCAAAAAACTATTTAAAATTATTTTTAACAATTAAAATATGCAGTCACCTAATTTTGATGAGTAAAGTCTGGAATGGTCTGAACATCTCAGAAATGTGCCAAGGATCATTGTCTGGATTTAGTGGCCCATCTTTGAAGATCAGGACCCCACTGTTCAAAAAACAAAGATTTGGATTATTGCACAAGAACAGGCATTTATTTTTTTAAATTTCATTTCTTCAGTCATAAACAAATACTTTAGACAGCCATACATCAATGCTTTTTCCCCTTTCATCTGACAAATGCCAAAACCAATCAACAAAAATTATACAATCTTGTCTGTTTTAGCACCTATGAGTTTCTTAGGCAATCATTCTCCCCTCCCTCAAGTTACCTTTCAGTTGTTAGGGGCTTTTTAAAATCCCTTAGTTATTGCTAAAGAAATGCCAGGATTTAGTCAAGGCATAAATGCTTTTGATACATTAACCAGTTAACCGTTTTGCTTTACTCAAATCAGCCAGAATAAATTTCATGGATTTTCTCGAACAGCCAGAATTAAATCTGCGCTCTCACTGTCATTTAAAATTTATGCAAGTTTTTTTTTGGGGGGGGGGGTTAAGTAGAGGGTTTTACGGCGCTTGCAACAGCATAAGGTCATATGAGCGCCAAGGGGTGGGTGTGAACAGAGAAGCCCTTACAGGGAATCAGACTTACTGTGCTCACCTCTCCAGCTTCAACAGCACAAAGTCTACTTCGACTATCAAGGCACCCCGGAAATAGCGGGTCACAAGAGAGTGATAAACATACAAAAGAAGTAGAGGAAAATGACAATAGTAAGGATTAGGAAAGAAAAAGCAGCAGTTCCCTGTTGCAGATCAGGCACAGTTATGAGCGTGACATGATGAATCAGCCCATTTACAATTCTACTGCGCTTGAACGAGAAATGTCCCCCCTTTGGGATTGGCCTATAGACACTACAGTCAGTGGCACCGTCCCAGGGGGTTATGCAAGTTTGAGTATCGGGAACAATTTTGGATCTATCTTGTTCACCTCGCCAAAAAGTTACCCATAGCCATCATCAGGGAAGCAGATAGTGAGATTGAATGCAGAAAAACACTTGTAGAAGAATTTGATTTGTGATCTTGATTTGTGAAGCAACTTGCATTTTAAATTTACAAAATTGTTGCTGATACAGGGCATGCCAATCAAATTCTCATAAAGAAAGGATATGTCATCAAGTCTATTTTAATCTTATCTAATATCAGAAACATGGAATCGGAGAACTGAACAAAAATGGGTATATAACTAAAGGAGGTAAAAATAATCTATGTCTTCCAGTTACACAATTAGAGAATAACACCATCAACATGTGTGTACCTGTTCACTTCGCTAGTCCCATGACTCGTGATCCATTTTTTCTGTCAACCCATCCATAGGTCAGCAATGTGCACAAACACATATCCACATATTCACAGATTCTTTCTGATTAACAAATACAATTCTCTCTCCCATGTAAACAGAACAACAAAAAGCATATAAAAATATATATATTTGATGTAGATCTATATGAGGAGTGTTTTGAAAAATAGGAACTAAGCACTGACACAGAATAAGAAATACCATTCCTTCATAAAAACTCAAGTGATACATGCAGAACAGGACCAATATACTACCCGTAAAGTATTTTACAAATAATATCCTTGAAAACAAGGAGCATACAAGAAAAACAGATTCAAAAGAATGACATACTAGATTTTATTTTAACCCATTCGTTGCCTCATAATTTTTAGCGCGGATGTCATGAAAGTTGGCAAAATTTGCCGCTCATGTTTGCCTATATGATGATACATGTCTTCTTCTTCTTCTTCTTCTTCTTCTTCTTCTTCTTCTTCTTCTTCTTCTTCTATCCCGTGGTTGGGGCAACCGTTGGGGCAACCGTTGGGGCACCACTGCATCGGAAAACCAGCTCTCGCCATGATACATGTACATCACGCTAATTACCTGGTTCTAATTCTGCTGTACGGAGTTTCATCCACAAGCGCAGCGTAGATTCGTATTCGGAAATAAAAGACGCAAATATCGGGACCAAATTTGCTGGAATTACTTTACTACTAGGCTTGCAAGCAATCGATAAACACAGATCTAGGCTTGCGTCAGCCGTCTGCTCTTGTAAAACGTAAACATCGAAATGATTTTAAAAATTCAAATAAATTCACTTTTTACTTAGATTTGCAGGTTATTCGAAATTATGAGTAAGATGGGAGGAAATGGGAAATAAGAAAAGTGAGAAATGTGACAATCGAGGACCCAGTGTCTGAAATATGTTATGAGTGCACTAGATCTAGATCTAGACCGTCCATAAACACTGTGACATTAGGCTGTAGTCCTGAGAAACGAGCTCAGCTGAAAATTAAAGCTGAAAATTAAAGCTGACAGAAGGAACGCATACCCCTGGCAACGAAAGGGTTAAACAGCAAAATCCTGATACCCTCATTTCTACTTTTTTCTACCATTACAAGAAACAAGAAAATATCTTAAAGATATTTTTCTTACCTGACAATAGCAAGTCGAGGTATGGTGAACATTAATGCTGGATCATATTCATCTATTGTGTCTTGAGTGAGCAAGCCCAAGCGAAGAGCTCTGTATAAAATGACAAACAGAAAGGGTATATATAATTATAGGACTAAATAACAAGAAACAAGAATACAGAAAAGTACAGATTTCATTAAAAGACTTCATAAGGTTATAAACTACAATATGTGACTAGTGAACATTAAAGCAATGTTCAGATACAGTTGAACCTGCCTTGGGGGCCACTTTCCATTTCCCCCCTTGCAGTTTTTCTATCTATAATTTAACTGTGTAAAACGGCCACCTGTCCAATGCAGCCGCGACCACCTTATTTTCAAGACGATCAACCGAAATTACTTGCCTAGGACAGCCACCCAATTCTCACATTGCCCAACACTTTGTCATAAATTATGTTTCAGCACGTGACCCTGTGGACTAGCCGTCACCTTTCGTTATTGTTCGTTCCTCCAATGAATGAATCAGTCATGCAGCATGACCAATCGGTAACAATACATTTTCAGCTGCTGGCAAAGGAAGCGTATGATCCCTTATAACTTATAAGCCCGCCCACAACTCATACACAAATCATAAGAGGGGTGACTGGTCACTGTTTCCCCAAAGACGCAACAATGGATGTCAACATGAATTTGCAACACAATGGTCGCTCGTTCTCTGAGTGGTGGCGACCCATTTGTTTATTTGTCTTGGCACTCGGTCTTCCGGGTCTGAAACTTTTTGTTTTGATTCACCCTTGCTCACGGTTTTCCTCATTTGATACATTTTGGAGAATTTAATACTTATTACCACAGTCACGAGACTTCGTCTCTCTCTGTAAAACAAAAGTGTTTCACGCATTCAGATGAATCCAGCTGTTGATGACGGCATCAATGTAGAAATGTAACCCATGTGCGGAGCCTGAAACCAACTCTAGTTGGGAAATCAGAAGGGAATGTTTGAAGAAACAACAATCCCCTTCCCCTTAACCCTCTCCCCCACCTGCCCCCGCTTAACGGCAGTCATAAGCCTATAACCACCCCTGGTTGGGACCTCAAAAGGGAATGGTTCACTTTCTTCATTTTCATCAGCCCTGCCTAAGACAGCCACCTGTCTTAGACGCCCACTTTTCTCCTTGACAAACGGTGGCCGTCTTACACGGGTTCGACTGCATAAATGTTTATACCTTTGTACAGTTTCTGAGAAAAGAACTGTGATCTCTTGAATCATGTCATACTCATGAGCTGTTTTGACAGGAACCATCGCACTCACATAGCTGTGAAAACAAAAAGTCAGTATAACATCACATTCTAAATAGTTATTTATGTTAATTATGATTAATACAACTTCAAAATCACACATTTTCCCCCAATTTCAAAAGTTATCCGAAAAAAACATGTAAACAACAAGAAAGTTTAACATGAACAATATACATTTCAGTACAACGATCTCATAAATGGCAAGTTAAAAGTGAAAACCACATGAAATAAGTCTTTAAGTTCTAATAAAAACAAACCACCAACAGCAAAAACAACTGACACAGAAATAAAAACACCATTAACAGCACCAATATCATTTTACACATCAACGCAGTCAGGATTTAAAATACTTTAAAAAGTGAAAATAGCGCCAAAAAACTTCAGAACGAAGCATACAAGATATATGCATAGCGCTGCTACAAATGGCAGCAATTTCACTTATAGGGTATTAAAAAGTTCTAAAAATTGGCAAATAAGCTGAGTTGGACAACATGGTATCTATTTTTATCTATCAGAAAGCTTTCAGTCCAAGTATCCATTTCTTTTCCAAGGAACAGGGTTCATTTTTTACACGCGCCCCGAGCCAATAGGCGCATTGGGTCAGAAAATGACCCATTGATTGCACATGCAGTGGGTCAATGGCCGCATTGTTCACACAGGCGCCCCACATGTCTTCTTTTTTGCTGTAAAATGTCAGATCTCTGCATGTAGTACATTTTACATACAAACTTAAAATTACCATCCATCCATTCATAAAACACTAGAGCAGGAAACTAGCATGCGAGAGGCGCATGATCGCTTGGCGAAATGTGATCGGCTGCCTATAATTAAATAGGTCACCGATGACTTCATTGCAGGTTTTCCTGATGGAGTCTACCGCTTTACTGGGTTTTAGAAGGGGTGATCGGTTGCAGCAAAAACGATGTCACGCAATTCAACAAATTTCATGCAAAAATTAGTCTTTAAGATCCAAAGAGATACAGACATCGAAAAAGTGATAGCAGAACTAGATTCTGCACTAAAAATCACAGGAAGATGCCAAATTTCATTCATATACTCCAATTCATTACTGACCTATGAACAGTAAAACAGTTTTTCCTCAAAATACGTCAAGACATGTCTCACTTTTTTGGTGATATTTTCCTCTCTGAAAGTCCCCCAAAATTTTGCCAACAAAAAATCACAATAACTTTTTTGTTTATCAATGGATTTAAAAAATTTTAAAACCAGAGTTCTCAGAATTCATTTTATTTTCATTTAAGCCCGTTTGTAAGTAATTCGGATAAAAATTTAGTATTTCACTGTCATTTCTAGTCAAAGGGAGGGCAGGGATGGGAATTTCAAGCATCACAAGCAGACATTGCTGGTAAGTCATTAATCCACTATTTCTCTGTAAAATTCTTACATGACATGTACCTTAACTGATACAAAAACAACTGATTGACCTGCATGTGAGCCTCAACCAGATTGTCTGAAAATTTTGCCCCCCCCCCCCCCCCCGAAAGAGCTTTTGTAGGTGTCATAAAGGGAAGGACTTCCGAGTAACGAGCGACCACCTCAACAAACACAATATAAAGAAGAGACCTAACCCTAACCTACCCTACTCCAAAAAAGAACCTGCAACGGTCCTTATGTAAAAGACCAGCACAAGTCCAAAATGAAAAGAAAAAAAAACCCAACCCCCCCTCCCAAAACAGAAGCATAACATGGCCTACTACTTTGCTATAATAGGGTTTGATACAATAACACAATAGAATTGGAATATGAATCGTCCATTTAGATCTAGATCTAGATCTAGTAATCTAAATAAATCTAGAATCTAGACTCTAGATCTAGAAGAACAAGTGAATAGGAATAGGAGGCCTAGTACCAAAGATAGTAAATAACAAGATGGGCCACTCAGCCAAAAAAGTGTCCGCAGGAAGTATGCTCTTTGCTTCAGATGGCGCTGCAGTCTGTTTTGAAGCTCTCTTTCGTTTTTCCAGAAGAAGAATAGGAATAGCACCTCCTTGCGTGCGCAGATCGAATGCTGTTCATCAGCAGTTCGGGTTCGTTCAGTACGGAGTTTTAGTTTTTTAAAATTTTAATGACCTCTCGCCTTTCATTCTAAAGTCAAATTAAACGAAGAAAACAATCACCCTTTCCTCCGGAAGAGGTTTTTTGTCAGCGTAACCATTTTAAAAAAGCGTTCTTCCGAAATTCATTCAAAAACTTGCTAGTTTCACTTTGATTTTTTAAAACTCAAGTAGGATAACTCTATTCGCTAAAGGTGCGCTTTTACGAAGAGGGCGCCACCGAATTTTGAGGAAACTTTTTTAATTGGCTCAAAGAGAGAAGTGGCCCCTCTTGTTATGTAGACTCTTTGCTTGTACTTGAACGAGAAATCCGCATCCGATTCTGAACACTCGAACAGAGGGACTCAGCTGATGAGTCAAAGATTCTAAATAAATAGTTCACGCACCTGATGAAATGTGTTTTACCAACATCAATATTACAGCACAACCTATAATAGGGTTTGACACAATAGAATTGGAATATGAATCCTCCATTGAGTTGATTGAGGTCTATAATGATCTATAACTCGGACTCAATCTAAGAATGAATCCACATGAACAGTCAAAAAACGAAATTCAAAATGGCCGCTCTAGCACGAAACTGAAAATAGATAATTTAGGTCGTTTTCCTTTTTCGTATTTCTACTCAGGTTCTGACAATTATGTCGGAAACGCCGACGTCGGCACGAAAACGAAAGTGCCGACAAAGCTGACGGGAGAGAAAGGGGGCGCTGGCAGTCGGCCAGGCCTCGCACTTCACACATTGACTTATACAGTGTACAGGTGGGCCTAGCGATAGCATCGGCTGGCTCGCGTGTCGTGCCGCAATTGTCGGATTTCAGACGATTGTCGGCAAACATGCAGGTCTAAACTGAGAACAACTCTCCATGCATGTTGCCGACAAACTTGACCCATCACTCACAAGACTGACCCATTGATTTTGGCCTGAGTGGGTCAATTGACCCATAGTCATTCATAGCAAAAATGAACCCTGAATGAAATTAACTTCTCAACTTCAGCATGACTAAGAACCTGTAAAACCATCAACGTCATCCATGGCCAAAAAAAAGAAATCCTCACTTACCTGAGCTCAAATTCAGCAAACAATTTGTCAAAGATAATCAGAGACTCCTTGATCTGAAATATCAAAATTAAAACAGTAAAATCACAGGTTTGAGGAACAATAAAAGGAATACAAACCACAAAAATTCAGTTCCATTCAGTATTACTTCTTTGCAAAGAAAACAAATTATTCACTAATACCCCCCCCCCCACCCCTCCCACCCCCAAAAAAACAACCAGATGACAAAAAAAGCAGTAAATTGAAAATGAAGGACAGAAGAAGCTAATAAGTTAATAAGTTAAGTTTAGGTTTTGAAGAAAACAAGCAATCAGCTTGTCCATAATATAAAGCAGAGAGAAACTTTTGTACCAGAATTGGAGAATCAAAGCCCCATCTTTATTCTCCAGAAATGCTGACTTTCATTTTCATCGTAACCTTTTCATAAGTCCTAGGTAGACTCAAAAAGAAATTATGAAACATACCAAAAGAGTATAGTCATGAACACTCCGAAGGCACTGTTCTCTGAGAATGTTTCGTAAGCTGTCAAGATTTTTCGTGAGAGCCCGGGCCAAAGGTCGCATAGCAGCACTTTCTGTTTCTCTGTTCATAATGCTAGAACCAGCTGCCAAGCACTGAAAAACACAAAGTATCAAAAGCACGGAAGGATATATATTTCAATAAAAGAAGAAATTAAACTGTGATACGACTGTTCATAAAAAGTATAATCTCTGCTCCTGCTTAAAGTTGAAGCTAGCAGACGGACGGGTTCGTTACTCGCGGACTCACAGCGAGCGGGTAATGGACGGCAATGCGAGCGCACTGCGAACCTCAAGACAGTTAGTTTTTTCGAACCAGTCCACAATTTTATTCTCTCAGTGAGTGGACGAACTCTAGCTAGCAGACAAGAGCGAGCGGACTGCGAACCTCAAGTCAGTTCCTTTCTTGGGTCCACTCGACGGGAGATTAAGCCCATCGTCTATTGTTTGTTAATAAGGCCTAATGTTTCAAGCCACTAGCCGTGCCACAGGGATTGAGAGAGGCTGGTGACGTAACACTTATGTGTGTAACGGGTAAGTAGTAACCTTTCACCTCGTGTGTCGGTTACACTGTGTATGTTGTCATTTCTCGCAAGTGAAGTTTAAAGAATTCCCAAAGGGCTTTTTAGGGGTGGGGGGGGGGGGGGGGTAGAGAAAATTCTGCCATGAACGCCTAGCTACAATGTGGGGCAGGACGGTGATTTTTTTGGGGGGGATGGGGGGGGGAGGGTAAGAAGTATGCAAAGGAAGGAGTCGCTCCCCATCCGACCGTCCGCTCGAATGCACTGAGTCTCTCATCCGTCCGCCAGCTCCCTCGCTAAACGCTTAATCCAGTCACTCTACAAGCTCAGTCTTTAACACTTGTCCTGGGCTTTGTGTTGACACAACAGTCATAAAGAAAAGAGCATATATACTTGTTCGCTGCAAGACTACGATAGATGTTCAATAGAAAAGAAGAAACAAACCACACCAGAGCACCTGCCAACAACCCACGCACTTGGTGATGTAATGTAATGAAAGCGAAACAAGAGATGAGCAGTCAGCACAACAGGCTGCAAAAGCACAAATTCACAGAAACAATGCAGACTGTTACATATAAAAGATATTCCAAGATGCTTACCTCCGCCCCAAACCAAAGCTGCCCGGCAAGGTTCTCCTGGATAATGTCATCTGGAAATTTGACCCGAAAATCTCGAGGGGCTCGTAAGTCTTTCACAGTCTCCTCCATCATCTGGAACACTATAGACAAAACTCGTGCCTGGGGAAAAAGACAAAACATACAACTCTCTAAACAAATATGCCCACAAAAACTGTAAAAACCCAAGAAATCTACGACTTTGATTCATCACTATTTAAGGTGCGACATAGTTTCAAGCATTCAAGAACAATAATAATATACTTTATAAAAAACAAGAAAAAAATTCTACCTCCTGGACTATTAAAAAGCAAGCACAAATAAAGACTGCTCCATTTCAAAAAATTTCTTTGCAGTGGTATTTAGAAAGCAAACATTTGAAAATAATTTTTCCAAGCCAAAAATTGTTCAAATAAACACTTGGCAACTGTAAAAAAAAAAATACATTTCTGACAAGAAAACAATTCAAATTCAACCTGGCAGGTACGAAGTTGATTCACAAGTGTTGTGCATCTTTCTGGATCTTTGCGAGCCTCAAAACTGTCAAGCTCTGCAGCTATAGAATTCAGTTCTTCATCAGCGAAATAGAACTGAGCCAACAAAGACTGGTCTGCCCTCTGCAGAAAAGAAAGCATGAAAGAAAAAAAATTAACCCATACATATTTTTCACATTGTTGAAAAGGTGACGTATCCCTTGAAAAGTCATATATGAGCCATTGAGCACATGTCCAAATATATTCTTTATGTTCTTCAAATCAAGTTCTTTCTATATTTGTTCTTTTTTTTCGTAAGTTTTACGGTACTTGCAACAAAATAAGATCATATAAGTGCCGAAGATTAGAGGTGTTGCAAGGGAGTAAAAAAAAAAAAAAAAAGGAGGAGAGATTTTTAAGGACGACAGACATTTCATAGGAAAGAAGGAGCAAACCACACCAGAGCACCCTCCAACCACTTATAAATGCTCTCTCTGGTCCTTAAGTTACTACTAGCATAGACAACAAAGAAAACATTTTTTTAAGTTTTAAGAGCCTGGAACTGTTCATTTAGGCCTAATATTACAAGATCTAATATAATAAAACCAACACTGGGTTCTAGGGTGGGGTCTTGGAAACTTGCCTTAGACATCTGGACTACAATCAGCCTCAAGAATGAAAGCCTCTCTAAAAGGTGTGTATCACGTTAAAAATTAACAAGGTTCCCTCGCCCTCGCTTCCAATTGTAGAAGCCATAAAACTTGTACTGGTCTTGAACAAAGTCACGAAGTATACAGACCCGGTAGGGGAAATCTTTTGCGTGATTTCAGATAGTTTCATAAAAATCTTACTGGTCTTGAACAAAGTCACGAAGAATACAGATCCGGTAGGGGAAATCTTTTGAGATTTCGCATAGTTTCAGTGCCCTCTTGGCTCAGGGTAACTAAGGTTATTTTTAGATCTAGATTATCTATGACCTACGTCTAGATCTAGACAGACAGACATAAATCATAGATCTAGTTTCGAGGCCTAGATCTAAATGAAGATAGCGGATGTCTTCGATGAACGATTGTTTTTTCTCCATTTTGGAGTTGGAAGAATCAATAAAAGACAATTTGAAGAAAAGAACAATGTCATAAGTTCAATCGAGCAGTCACCCTCTCTACTTCTCTGTCTCTCTAGGCTCCCCTCTTTTTCTACCTGCCTCTCTCTCTCTATCTCTCATTCTCTCTCTCTGTCTTCAGTGTATCGCTCGCCTTCTCTTTCTCTTTGTTTGTCTCTGTCTCTCCCCACCCCCAACCTACTTTCCCACTCTATCTTTCTCTCGTTCCATCCTGTCAACTGGGGCATGTGATGCAAGCACTTCCCCCTATTCTTTACCCCCTTCCCTCTCTCTCTCTCTCTCACACGCGCGCGCGCGCGCACAAACGCGCGCACGCACACACACACACACACACACACACACACACACACACACATACACACACACACACACTCTATCGGGTCAGGGCATTGAAACTTTCAGAAATCACAAAAAATTTCCCCTTCCAGGTCTGTATAGGCTACTTCGTGACTTTGATCGTGGTTACCAGGTCTGTATACGTTGAAGCACGTTTTCTCTTCCCTGCTATGTTTTACCATTGAATCCCATGCATAATATTGATGTCAACTGAAGGCCAAATTGGAAATGAATTTTCCATGACATGAATAAATACATTTAAAAAATCATTTTTTTAAAGTTTGTGTGTTCTCACGTTTTTAAACTAAAAAGCTCATTTTCTCAAAATTATATTTTTTATACACCCTACCTCGCAAAATGTGCAATTTCTCAAAAAGTTCTTGAGATATCTAAAAAAAATTTAAAGACCCCTGTGTTCAGCATTGAATTTCCTATAAGGTACAACCATTAACTCAAAATGGTCAAAATCCAACTTTTGGCTTTTGGTACCTTTCTAAAACTTTCTTGGAACTCTTTGGAAATTGCCTTCCCGTTCCACTGGCAGCCATTTGGAAACTGAATAGGCCTACTGATAATTTGACATGCATACGTGAAGATAGTGTGGGTTTTTTAAATTATTATTTTTGCCAGGGGGCCTCCCTCAAAGCCTCGTTATCAGGGGGGGCAAGCCCCCCTGAAACCCCCCACTGTTATGGCTAAATCTAGGGCGCCTTAGTAAACATCGTGGGTCCACCAAAGTTCAATCTGGCCAAAATAAATTTTTAATACACAAAAAAAGCAGAAAAATATTACTGTAATGTGGTAGAGTTCACTTAGCCTACATGGACACTTTGTCTTTAGCAATCACTTGTTTCTTATGTAAACAAACGGGAAGGCAATTTCCAAAAAGCCCCACTTTCTTTAGGCACACAAGTATATTTTGTCAGTGTCAGTTATCACCTAGAGGCAAAATCAGAGGCGCTTTTCTGTAGTTCTTACCCCACAATCGTTACCCGTACGCCAAAGTCACATGATGCGAATGCGCGATTGAAACAGTTTTATTGACGGGTCTTGATGACGGACCCAACTAACTAGTATTTGGACAAATTAGCTTGTTTTGAAAAGTAACAGCAGAACTACAATTAATATTGATCATTTTGTATATATGTCGCGATTAAAACATTTATCAGGCCATCATCAGAGAATTCTGAGTGGAAACAAAAGCAAAAGTAGATCTTAAGAAAGTCCCAAGTCAGAATGCCAAATCGATACTACTTCCATTAGGTATAGTGGAAATAACATGTACGAGCAAAGATCCAACACAACTTGGGGCGAGTTAACTACATGTACTAGATTCTAGATCTAAATCCGGAATTGATTTTTCCGCAAATAGTGCTCTGGGTTCCTGCTGACAAAAAGTTACGAGTGCTTCCCGCGATAGAGAAGAAGGCAGACTGAGTTTTTTTTTTAATCCAGCGCAACAGAAGGCACCAAAAAATCGGGATACACGCGATCGAAATCTGAAAAATCAGGATGCTTTAGATTTGAGGCGAAAGAAACAAATCGGGATGAGTAGCCAGGTCTGTTGGGGTAATCTCACGGCAGGGGTAAACTCAAGGCACGACACCGGCAAATGCAAACAACCAGGATGTGGGCGGCGCTTCTCTGCTGAAGCAAGCCTGTGTTGCCGGAAACTGCGTACTGCTGATAAGTAGGTTGACTACTTCTGGCAAAAGGTGACTGTCCTGCCGTGTATGTGCATGGGTGTGTTGTCAATTGTCAAATCATTGACTCGGCTTCAGGCGATGGAAAATGGGGGAAATGATGCTTGCCACCTAAATCTCTATGTTTTAAGCCTGCGGCTATGCGTACGGCCCTCCTCCCATACGGACCTTAGATTTAGATAGAAGTATGCTCACGGCCTTGATATTCACTCGGCTGGACTGCGTCACTTTATTTATCAATCGATATCTTGGCCAAGACAAAAATCGTGTATAACAAGATAGTTCACCCCTCTATAATTGAGCCAATTAAAAAAAAGTGTTCTGAATATTCGGTGGCGCCTTCTTCGAAAAAGTGCGGACTTTGCAATCAGATACCCTACTTGTGTGAAAATATAATAACTGTGCTATTCCTATTCTTCTTCTGGTGAAAAGAAAGAGCTTCAAAACAAAGACTGCGGCGTCATCTGAACCAATGTGCGGACTTCAGTGGTCACCTTTCTGGCTGAGTGAACTATTTTGCTAATGTACAATCTTTGGCCAAGAGAAGCTCTACGAGGTCAAGGTAATTTGCAAAGTCATTGGTCACTATTTAAAACATTGACCTGTAATATACTATGTCATTTTCCATAAGGAATGCTGAAATTTTCCATTGAAAAAAGGTCATCGTCAATGCTCTTGGCCTTTATAGCTGCGCGCTTCCCAATGGAAGTAGGTCATCCCTATAATGGCCTGCGCACTTCCCGGGTAACCTGGCTTGTAATTACGCCCTTTATTAAGCAGGGTTGGGTTGATTTAAATCAGTTGATTTTTTAAATTTAAATCAACATGATTTTTTAAATAAAAATCAGTGATTTAAATCACTTTTTTTTTCTTTTTTTTTTTAAATTCAGTTTTTACATATTTCAACATTCAGAATTCCCTTCCTTGGTTTCATAAAACAGATATAAGGTTAAGTAGACAAATATAATCATGTTTAAAAGTCTGCTTTCCCACCTTTCACTGTAAAATAATACAGTATTCAATTTACTTTTTTTTCGATAATTGAAATCAGAGCTGGGTTGATTTAAATCAGTTGATTTTTTATATATTTCAATCAACTTGATTTTTTTTTTTTTAATCAGTGATTTAAATAAATTAAATCACTTTTTAACAAATGTATTCAGTTTTTACATATTTGAACATTCAGAATTCCTTTCCTTGGTTTTATTAAACATATAAGGTTTAGTAGACTAATATAATCATGCTTAAAAGTCTGCTTTCCCCCCTGTCACTGTAAAATAATACAGTATTCAATTGACTTTTTTTCATAATTGAAATCAGGGTTGGGTTGATTTAAATCAGGTCGATTTAAATCAGTTGATTTTTTAAAAATTTTAATCAACTTGATTTTAAAAATAAAACTCAGTGATTTAAATCACTTTAAAAAAATGTATTTTGTTTTTACATCTTTAAATATTCAGAATTCCTTACCTTGGTTTTATAAAACAGTATATATAAGGTTAAGTTAATAAAATCATGCTTAAAAGTTGCTTTCCCCCCTGTCACTGTAAAATAATACAGCATTCAATTTACTTTTTTTTTTCATTATTGAAATTAACATTTTCTTTTTCTTTTTAGACAAACACAAGCGCGCGCACGCACACACACACAACTGTAATAAAATGCAAGTTTATCTATGCATAATTACCCCCCCCCCCCCCCTTCCTTTTAGGCTGACATTTTCTTCATTTTTTGTCTGTAGCCATAATTCACTGATACATATATATACTATTATATATATAGCAGATTAAGGCTTTCTTTTGCGGTTGCTTAAGTTAATCATTAGTTAGAATAAAGACAATGCATTTTGCACTAAAAGAACATACTTTTAGCAACCAAAAATCCCAAACTGTGTCGACATTTTAAAAAAAAATATTTTAAAATTTTAAAAATCTGATTTAAATTTTAAAAATCATGATTTAAATTTTAAAAAGATTTTTTTTATTTTTATGAAAAAAATCAAAAAAATCACCAACCCTGTTATTAAGGGCCCTGAGCACTTCCACTCCAGGGTTTAAGTTTGTCTACTTGTGTCTGGTTTGATATTTTATGAAGTTATGTGTTGCCTACAAAGACTAGCTTATTAGGTGAAGTGGAGGGCCGTAAACATAGCCTCGATGCTATGCGTACGGGAGGGCCGTATGCATAGCCACTTTGATGTTTTAAAGCGTATAGGCACTATATGCAAACCCCCGAAACGAAACTTTAAAGAGTAACGCCCACGCACCACCAAAACTTAAAGGAGGTAATTTGCAGGTTTTTATTTAATGAGTATATACACGCACATTTGTGCATAACGGGGAGCCCTACTTAGGTGTCTTAGGCATGTTTCGCTTCGGTCCCTTACCTTAACCCTTGGCCTCTAATCCTAACCCTGACTCTTAACCTAACCCTAACCTTAGATTCTAGGGAGTGTATACAGACCCGGTAACTGGGAACAAAGTCACAAAGTATACAGACCCGGTAGGGGAACTCTTTTGTGATTTCGGAAAGTTTCAGCGCCCTCTGGGCTCAGGGTCACAGAATTCTGTGCTCAGGGTAGACCTAGATTCTAGGTTCCTCTAGATCTATGGCCTCGGTCTAGATCTAGACAGACAGACATAATTCATTGATCTAGTTTCGAGGCTAGCCTAGATCTAGATCTAGAATCTACATCTAGATCTAGATTAGATCTAGATATCTAGATCTAGATCTAAATGAAGATTGCAGATGTCTTTTCGATGAACGATCGTTTTTCCTTCGTTTTGGAGTTGGAGGAATCACAATTTGAAGAAAAGAACAATGTCATAATTTCTCTCGAGCAGTCATCCTCTCTCTCTCTCTCTCTCTCTCTCTCTCTCTCTCTCTCTCTCTCTCTCTCTCTCTCTGTGTATCGCTCGCATTCTTTTTCTTTGTTTGTCTCTGTCTTTCTTTCTCCCCACTTATTTCCCACTCTATCTTTCTCTCGTTACCTCCTGCCAACTGGTGCATGTCATACATTTTGCTAGCACTTCCCCCTGCTCTCTCTCTCTCTCTCTCTCTCTCTCTCACACACACACACACACACACACACACACGCGCGCACACACACACACACACAAATACACACCCACACTTGAAACTTTCTGAAATCACAAAAGAGTTCCCTTACGCCTTACCGGGTCTGTATACTTCGTGACTTTTTTCCCGGTTACCGGGCCTGTATACACTTCGTAGATTCTATCCCTAACCCTGACCCTAACCCTTGATCTAGTTTTTAGATTAGATCTGAAAAACGCACATTGGACCGGAATTAAACGCGAAAATCTTAACAATCGCCGTGGAAGTACCTCTGGACTAAGTTCAAAAGGCTGTTCAAATAAATAGTGTCTCAGTTCAGTAGATCTAGATTCTAATGCTTTAGAATTTAGAGTCTAGAGTCTATTTAGATTCTAGATCTAAATCTAGATCTAGATCTAGATTTAGATTTAGATCTAGATAGAATCTAAGTCAAGTCAAGAAGAGCCTTTGTTTACTTGTGCCTTTGCCTTAGAAAGACGCCTTAGAGCCTTAGTATTGTCTTAGATTTGGACCTCTAGAGTCTAGAGTAGAGCTCTACTCAGCTGTAACTGTTGCTATTCAGACTCGGAGTGTACAAAATGATCCAAATAGAATCTCTAGATCTAGATCTAGATCTAGGCTATCTAGATCTAGATCTAGATCTAGGAATCTAGATATCTAGATCTAGATCTATATCTAGAAACTAGAACTTTTAGGTGTCTTGACAAGCGTCGATTTTACTTCCGACACAATTTCTAGACTTCTCAATAATAAGAGAAGAAAAACAGAGAAGAGTAAACAGACGGTGCTACCTACCTTTGGCCTGTACAACCACCTCCTTAGTGAATTCATGTTCGGTCACTGGACATCAAAAATACGTTATGTAGCACAAAATCATCCTTTAGTGAAAATCTAATAAAATGACTTTGCGTGAAACATCCTTTTGCAAATCTCTTTCTTCCTCGTCTGCGACTGTCACCAATTGTTCCGGAACAGGAAACAGGCCAATTGGAAAAACAACACAGGTTTCACGAAGTCCCAGATTTATTGGTGTTAACAGTAGGCCTAAATGTACAACAAAAATCGACAATTTATTGTTACTGTGCGTAACTTCAGATTAATATCAATGATATATAACTATAATAATGTGTCGATTTGTTATATTACGGGAAAAGAGAAGAGTTCTGGTCGTGCTTATATTTTGATAATGGGGAAGTCAAATTAAATTCTAATTCTGGACAAATCTAGAGTTTGACCCCATGAAACGAGGTCACGAAAAAAACGATTTCTTTGCTGACCCGATGAACCCCCTTGGCCTATTTTTGATTGATCAGCTGCAAACACATGTACTGAGCTCATTTCACCCCTTGTGACACAGATCACGAATCTACATCAACAAACAATGTAAAATGTGACGCGTATTTTGTGGTGTCCCAAGACAAAATTAGCCAACGTAGTCATTATCCGATGGTGAGAGGCGTGTTTTTGAAGGAACGTTGTTGCCAAGCTTTGCCTATGTCGACCTAACGGTTTCAGGTTCTTCTTCGCCCGGGACGTATCTGATTGGCCTATACTCATACTGTTGTTATCTGTCTTCGAGGAGGCTATTAATTAACATGCCGCCTGTCTTTGTGTTGGCGCGTCTTTGTTTAAAACACCAGCGACCAAGATTTCAACTGAGAGAGCTTGCGTTTTTGGTTCCTGCTTTCACTGTCTCCAAAAAGATGATGGGACTGAATACATCAAAGTGGGAGATAAGGATAGAGAGGGGAGGAGATATATATACATATATATATATATATATATATATATATATATATATATATATATATATATATATATATATATATATATATATATTTATATATTACACAGAGAGAGAGAGAGGGGGGGGGGGGGCAGGCAGAAAGGCAAACGGACAGACAGGTAAATTTCAGAAGAAAGATAAGCAACCACACTACAGATCTCTTAAGAGACCAAGGAATATGCACCTTTTGAAGGAGAGCCGTTATCGGTGGAATATGAGAGTTGAATATAAGTAAATACAGTGGAAACCTGATATAACAGGGATGGTGGGACCAAAGACAAAGAAGTCCTGTTATATCAGAACCCCTGTTAAACCAAAATTGCAAGGAAAGTAAGCATTTGTGGACTAATCCAGCTGTATTTATTCATGGGTAGGCCTAGTTTCAGTTGCCACAGATGCCCACGAACAGAGGTTTTAGCTATGTGGCAGGCCTGTGCATGACACATTACGCGTTCGTGTAGCTAGGCTAGATCGAAGTCTGCAGCACACAGCAGCCCTCTCTCGCTTCTCCCGCTGCGTGTGCTTGCTGCAGTGGCGTGGCTTGCGTGGGCTTGCACTCACTCTCTCTCTCTCTCTCTCTCTCTCTCTCTCTCTCTCTCTCTCTCTCTCTCTCTCTCTCTCTCCCTCCCTCCCTCTCTCTTTCTCTCTCTCTCTCTCTCTCTCTCTCTCTCTCTCTCTCTCTCTCTCTCTCTCTCTCTCTCTCTCTCTCTCTCTCTCTCTCTCTCTCTCTTACTTTTTACACATTGTTAACGAGCCTTTGTCCATGCTATAACCGATTGGACTCCGATTAGGCCCTGTTATTGCCGATAACTTTTGATCGAGACAAAGGGTAGGGAAAAACGGGGTTTTTTTTAAAATCCCTGTTATTACCGGTTATTACATGGTTTCCACTGTAATCGGTCCTCTTCCATTGCTAACTGGTTGGACTGTGTCATATTAGCAAGCTTACAAGGGTCTCAAACTGGGGGGGGGGGGGGGGGGGGGAATAGTAATTGGTGACCCAGGGCCTCATCAAGTATTATAGAGATAGAAAAAAAAGGGTTTCAATTTCAAGTATGTAAGCTTTCTTTAAAAAAAATAGAATCCATTTTTTAATTTTTTTTTTAAAGTACGACCTTCCTTTTTTCAGTCTTTATTTTTAGCTGCTCACAACATGACTGGTTCATCGTGGTCTAAGGGTGCTGTGTTCACCTCTTATTCAATAGAGTTCGAAACCTGGCAACAACGAAAAATGTTCTTCTAAAAAATGTTCTCCTTTCACCTCCTTTCCTGCTCTCTTTTCACGTTCTTTCATTATTCATTTGCTTTCATCTCAAATTTCTGCCCCCCCCCCCTTTTTCATCCCCTGGACCCCTAAGTCTTTCTCCTGCTACTCCTGGCTCCTTATTCTTACTGAACTGCTGTCTTTCAGCCACACCCTGATCTTTGGGCAGGTAAGATCGAACACCTAGCCTTGTTGGATAAGGAGAAAAAATCTCAGAGGTCCCGTGAGCAAGTTGGGCACGTTAAAGATCAGTGATGATGGGGATCAAAAGTGAAAAAGGAGGAAAATGTCGCGTGACATATAAAAGTTAGTTTTCCAATTAAAAACTCCCATCTTTAAAACAACTTGAAGGGACAGATAAAAGCTAAAATAACTATACTTACATTATCTTCAACTTGTGTGGGCATACAAGCATCAGAGGGAGTCATCCCCCTGTTAACATTTTCTTCTCTTGTTGGAAGGCCCTTGCAATGAAGACTGGTGTCTCTTGAAGGCCTTCTTGATGGCACTCTCTTTGTTCATTCTGGCTTTTGCAATTGTTGTCAGAGTGTGCGCTTGCTGCTCTAAAGCTGTCTTCCTCTCCCCTTTTTCTTCTCTAACTTTGTTCAGTTGCTTCCTGTATCTGGCATGGGAAGACTTCATAGAGCACACAAGGTTAGGGTTGGCAGCAGTGTGCAAGCTTTCCCTACTTTTGAAGCAGGCCACAGAAGTGTCCCTTGACATCGGGGAATATTTGAGGGTCTGGACAGCAGAAAATGTAGACACTGTCATGTTGCCTGACTTAATCTTTATGTCTTTCATCCTGGAGAATCAGTATTCGACTTGCGACCAATGAAATATGGAGAGACATGCTCTGGCTAACTTTTTGAGTGTAGGAAACTTGTTCTGCTAGCTCGACCATGCATCCACTCTCGCATGTGTATTAGTGTTTGGGGTGATATTATACTCCTTGATTTCAGTGGCCAGCAAATCAATTTCTACAGAGGTTAAATAGTGTGGAAAATAATCCATTCGATTATTGAGAGCTTTTCCTAATACTAATACTGAAGGGTAAGGCACTTCTGGATCAAGGGCAGAAAGGCACGCAATGAACTTGTTGTCAAACGGCAGGATTTTCAAGAAGTGTTTGGCACAAAACCTATAGGCCTTTGAGACAGTCATGAGAAAACTGTTTTGATCAGCATAAATCTAACCTTCGAGGAGTTTCAAAGTTGTTTTGCCTATGAACAAGTCCCTCAAGTCAAGATTGTTTTCCACACTGCCAACATCAAGTTTCAGGAGCTGCTTTGGAGTGAGGTCCACAATTTTCTCTGGCCTGAGGAAGCTAGCAAGGAATTTCCTCCGAACCGCTTCCTCGTACATGTGTATAGCTCAGCCACATTTAGCATGTGAACAAAAAACGTGCGGACTGCACAGTCGCTAAAATTTGAAGTCAAGTAGAGGCTGCAAATTATAGTTCTGCGAGCCTTAATTGCCCCTCGGACCGTGAGTTTGAGGCCCTTGCTTTGTCAGAAGTTCTGACAAATCTATGACATTTTCGAATCAATTCTCCCATGATAGGCCTATCCCTGCAGTTCTCGAGCTCTTGTTCACTGAAGTTCACTCCTCAATCTCTTGCATTATTCTTTCGGAGAGAAATAATTAAGCACGTGTGTTGTGTGACGTAATTTGTCGTACTACTACTTAAGTCGAGTATGCCCTTTTCAACCCTCCTTTGGAGTGAGGGTGGTACAAAGTTCATAGCTTTACTTTTCCTGCTGATTTTGTGCGGTAGTTTTGTGCTTTGCATGAGAAATGGATGAGCTTTCTTCCAAGACTTTCAAACGCCAACATTTGTCTTTCTGGGTCAAGTAACTGTGCCCATGACTTTGCACATAGGGGTAGATATTTTTTTTTAAAAATAATTACAAGGAAGAGAAACCTGACCAACTTAACTCACTGGAGATTTGCGGAGTCTCTTAACTTTCACCTTGCCTTACTTGACATCGGAGCTAAAACCGTTCAATTTTATTTCACGTCTTAGCTTTTGGGCATGGTTATAGCTGTAGCTCTAGTGTTTTGGGGCAATGGTTATTAATTTTTATAGGCCTTAATGTGAGCTTTACCACCAAGCTCAAAGTGTATAAAACAGTAGTTCTGCCATCTCTCCTCTATGCTTGCGAAACGTGGACAGTCTTCACTGGCATGCCAAGCAGCTCAATGCCTTCCACATGAGATGCCTCAGGACCTGCTTAGTATCAAGTGGCAAAACAGAGTCCAAGACGCTGAGGTACATGTACTCCAGCGGGCCGAGTTGGAGAGCATATTTACGCTATCCTATTACGCTCTCAGCTCCGGAGGGCTGGCCACGTTCACTGCATGGACGACCCTCGCCTCCCAAAAGGTTACTCAATGGTGAGTTGACTATAGGTAAAGGTTCTCTCGGAGGTCAGGACGAAAAAAAAAACCGCATCAGAGATGCTCTGAAATCATCCCTGAAGCGATGTGGATATTCCCCATACTGACGGGGAAGAAGCTGCTCGTAAGCGCAAAGCTTGACGCTCCATAGTAAGGTCTGGAATCGCTAAATTCGAAGGAAGACGCATCAGCAGAAAAGAATGGAGACGGCAGTTTAGAAAAGACCTAGAGATCCTTACCAATCAGTCTAGTTCGGCCCAAAACATCCCATGCCCCCACTGGCAATAGACATTTCTGACAGACATTAGGCTCTCTTATGAAATTATGAATTTTATCCACCCAACATGCTTCAGGAAAATCCAAGGGTCTGTTGTTGTTGTTTGTTGTTTGTTTTTTTGTCGCTCCTGTAAAATTTGAAAAACATGACTTACCATAGTTTACTTGGCGGCCCTCGGTGTATTCCACACTGAATCACAATTAAATAATATATTATTATATTATTACAGTGCCGTTGTCGTCAAACTGAACGGATTGAGCGTCAATGAGTTGTCTACAGTACTAGTGTTGACTGAAGGAGAATAGACTCCTGACTTTTAAAAAAAATAGACATTGCAATGGATACAGTGCAAACAACCATGATCACTTTTATTCAAAGTTTAACCCTTTCCCTGGCAACTGGGTGTAACACACCCAGGGACCCTGTTTCGGTATCAATATTTCTAACTACATACAAGATACGATGATAAGAATTTTTGTAATCCTCAAAAGAGTTGAAATAAATGTGCTCAGCTCTCAAAATGATTGTTCAAAACAAGCTTTATCACTTATAATCATATTTAAAAATTTTAACCGGTCCCTGGCAACCTGGGCGTAACACACTCGTTCACTTCAATATATATAGTGAAGAAAAATGTCTTCCTCACTTGGGTAACAACCTTACTTGCTTAATACCATTCATTGATTGAATATGAAGAAGTGATAAAATTATAAGAAATATTGATTTTGGTGGCACTTAAATGTAGTATTTCTGCAAGATTGGTACATTGTATATCATACGGACGCGCACTCTTACAAACACGGATGTCTGACGGGGATCATAATGCGTCACATGTATACAAGGAGGCTACCGCTAGTATTAATAAAGTGTCTTTAAAAGATAACTCAGAAAGTAGAATAGTCAAATATCATAGTCCTAGTCTGTTAACAAGGTAGCATTAGTCCAAAGATTTAGACCAAGTTTTGCAATAAAGCACAGGATATTTCTTGTAATTAGCTAGCTGCAGAGGCTGCAGTTTGATGGTGTCTTGTGGCCTCTTTTGTTTGGCAGTCAGGGCAGAAAGAACCAGCTGGGTTTTTTTTATGTCTGCCCTCTTTGTTGGATCATCCACAGTATCCATCATTTTCTTTTTGTATCGAGACAGACATCTGATGGTGACAGGACATGATGAGGAAATGCTGTACCATTTTAAGACAGTTTCATGTTTTTTCTTCGGGATCGTGCCACAGTGATCGACTGAGACTGAGAGTGAAGTAATGGGCTCTCTCAAGCAGTACTTTGAAGTAAATAAGAGCTCAACTAACAAACAAGAGTTGCGTGTATTACACCCAGTTGCCAAAAATAAGATGGGTCAATATTTTCCTATATAATACATATACGGGTGTGTTACATCCATGTTGCCGGTTAAAGGGGTATAAAAAGGCTGCCGGGGAAAGGGTTAAAGAATTATTTTTAAAAAGTATAATTATGTATAAAAAAAAGGTTGATGGCCTATCAGCAACTTAATTTTGGTAAGACTGAAGGCACGACTTAATGTTTCTGAAGTAGATAGTGTTTATCTTTCTTCTTCTTCTTCTTCTTCTTCACATTGACGTCTATAGTGTGCCAGTTCGGCCCTTCGCTGTCGCACACAGGAGTTCGATTATCATGTGGGAAGACATCTTTAACGTGTATCTTATTGCTGGGACTCTGTATCGAATCCTTCCACCCGGGTCGGCCCTAATATGCAGTATGGTTAAGCAGCCCGCCCCCTAAATGACCTAAATAGTATCGATGGGGGCGTTAAACTTCTAAAATTGCACCCCCCCTCCCCCTTTCTTCTTCTTATTGTTATTAGTACTCTTATTATTATTAGACAAGACAGAATTTTCAGGGCGGAGGTCGGCTTACGATGGCGCGAGAGTCTCCATGCATCACTTCGCGAGAAACATTACAACTGATGGCAGACGCCTTCGACGGAGATACGGGTAATCAACTGAGACGATAGCCAGCTTGTACAACCGGATAGAAGCGAGGAACAGAACAGGGGGTCTCCCAGTCGGCAAAAGCTCCTTTCGTTAAATGTGTCGCCCTGGGCGTTGCTCCGACACAACAGAATTGGGATGTGAAAGAAACAGCAGGCCGTTGCGACCAGGGCCATGCAGAGCCTTTGTCATACTTTCTGAACCTTGAAGCTGGCAAGCATTAAGGGCCCCCCTGCACCAAAATGGCTAGAAGTTCTCCCCGTCTAAAATAGAAAGACTGAAGTACAAGATCGACCGGTGGCCTCTGTATCTCCCGAGTTTCTAAAGAACATTCAGTGCAGTAGTGCACAGCAAAGATGTTGTAAATACACCCCTTTCCCCCTTGCCTGCATCACTTCGTATATTTTTAGTATTGAATCGTCTCACTAAAATAAAATTATTTGAGTATTTAAGTACAATAACAACATATTATATTATCTCACCAATTTGGAAGTCTTATCTTTAATCAAGACTCTTGAAGGCTACATGTGGCGGGTAGCCTATGGTAGTCAACCTCTTTCCTTTTTTTAAATAGCTGGAGGTACTGGCTTAAATTATGATAGGGCGTATAGGTTATCACCTCTTTAAAAAAGAAAAGAATAAACTCAAAAACGTTGAGGGAAAAAGGCCCAAGGTGATCATATAATACTAGATAGATCTATTAGTGTTTCAGACAGAGAACTATATATCAAAAGACAAATAGATTTTACAAATGTACAAATATTGATTCACTTTGAATTATTGATGAGACAAGAGTATACTGTTTGCGGGCCTACAAGTAAAATCCCACAATATTATGATCTGCGCAAACTGCATTTTGCAGAGTCTGCATTCCTTCACTTCTTCTATGATCTAATTAGGGCCTTTATACATTCAATAGGACTACATAGTTTGGTCTGACAGAAGATTTTGCCCTCACTACTATTTTTCATCTCTTGGAAAGCATTAGATCTAACAATTTTTTCAGGGAAATTCTGGTTTACATATATTGCAAGTATAAGAAATGTATGTACGAGGCTTGGTAAAAGGTGCTCAATTTCCATGATTATTTTATATTTAATGAAAATGTTAATAAAAATTGAAACACTCAAAAACAAACAGTGCAAATGGCCCATGTGACAAAAGCTGTTTTCAGAAAACTGACTCGGGTGTAGTGGCCTTGTCTTTAAAAATGAGGAAAATCTCACATTCAAATGCTAAAGAGAACTTTAATTCTGGATCTTCACTTCTTGCGGTAAATACAACCACTTCAGGACCACCATGCTCACAGGAATTAGGAGGTACAGCAATCTCTCACAAACTGCAGCACTATCTTAACTGTCAATGATTATAATAATCTAGAATGGTCCAATCCCAGAGCAGTGAATTGTTTCTAATTCTGTACATGTTCAGAAAAGAGTAACATCTGTTGATCAATTTGCATGAATTAAAATTGTATCTATTGCCATAAACAGCATGACAGGTGCCACTCCCTTGTTTCCATTTTAAAATTTCTCTACACATATGTAGTGGTTAACAGATTAAGCTCTTGAGAAAAGACCTATGGAAAGCTTGTCAGCATTCAAGAAAATCTCAACACAACTATACACTGTCAGGATTTGAAACAATTATATGCGACAAAAACATTTTAGTTAAGTTACAGTAGAGGTTTTACGGCGCTAGCAACTGCATAAGGTCATATGAACGCCAAGGGGTGGATGTCAATAGAGAAGTCCTTACAGGGAATCAGGCTTACTCTGCTCACCTCTCTAGCTTCAACAGCACAAAGTCTGCTTCGACTGTCAAGGCATCCCAGAAATAGCCGGTAACAAGAGTGTGGCAAACATGCAAAAGAAGTAGAGGAAAAATGACGATAGTAAGTAAGGACTAGGAAAGAAAAAGTAGCCCTTCCCTGTTGCAGTTCAGGCAGTTATGAGCATGACAATGATGAATCAGGCCATTTACAATTCTACTGTGCATAAGAACAGGTTAATGTGAAAATGTGTACAAATTCATAGAAACAGCTACCTGAAAGACATGGAAAGTTGATACAAATTTATTTTTTATTTTTTCAAACAAACAAAAAGTGATACGAACATTTTACAAAATTAAAAAGACACATTTATGAGACACAAGGTTTTATGAAGAGTAGGGCCTACATTGATCACAAATTGGGTGCAAGACAAACTTTAAGTTCCTCTTCATAGAACTTAACCTCTTCTTGCCTTACTTACTCTCACTGGTTTGTATAGGACTCTTAGCCAAATGAGGAGAAAAACATGCTAATCACAATAAGAAATAAGTCCACATTTTTCCTTTTACATACCAGATATCTAGTTAACAAAATTCATCTGCTAGTGCAAAAATTTAATACGGGCCGAAATATGATTTACTTTAGCAGCATAATTAAATAGGCTTGAAATAGAGTCTCAATAACTTTTTGATCAGTTTGCAAGAAAGAAATTGTATGCTTCTTCCACCAACCAAAAAAAATTCCACAAAGTATGTTTCATAATTCAAGAACTACTTTAAAACATATTGGCCTTAAAATTCACAGAGGATGGTCGTTTTGAAAGATTAAGAAAAAGTTCACATCTGTTAGCATGGGAGAATGTTATATCCATGAGGAAATAAAACTGTGACGGTTCTTGATTATATGAAGTGCAAAATTTTAGAAATAATTAATTAACACATGACATTAGCATACTTCAATTTAACTTCACAAATTGACAAATAACCATGTATTGCAAGGAAAATATTACATAACACTTCAAGTTTCTATGAGCTTAATGCTAGATCTCTCTGCAGGTTTCATAGTTTCAGGAATAACCATTCCAAAAATGCCGTCACCTCAAAATGAATCACATGAGAAATGTTGGCCATTTCTATTCAGAAATGAGTCAGATAATACAATAAATATACTAAATCACACTACACATTCATCACTAGCGGCAGTGGTGTTGAATTTCTTATAACATTTTGTACTAAATACAAATAATTATCTGCAATTCTCTGCATAAGGTTGAGATTACATTCATCGCATCACTTAGAGTCAAGTCAAAATATTAATCCACATCCACTTACTAAATAATATAAGTAATCTCATTCAGCTGAGTGACCACATTTTACATTCTGGATGCCACACGTTTTGTATTCAGTTTGTTTCAGGCACGACATTATAAATTCATGTATATGACACAAATAGGGCATAGTGAAAAAAGAGAGAGAGAGAGAGAGAGAGAGAGAGAGAGAGAGAGAGAGAGAGAGAGAGAGAGAGAGAGAGAGAGAGAGGGGGGGGGCTTCTCCAAAAAAGATTTTCAATTTTCTGATTATGAATATATGTGGGGCTCTGTGAGAAAAGGGATAGATCTACAGCTCATTGCCAACCTCCTTCCATTGCTTGTTTATATATTCTATTAGAATAGCTTTCCTCTGTTGTTTCAAAAGCAGCAATGAGTGCTTCCATGTTAATTGAATAAAAATTATCCAGTGCAATGCGAGGGTACTCCTTTTTGCCAGAAGGGAAACTGAAAATTTTAGTGTTGCCCTTGGTGCTTTCGACTTAATGGAAAGCCGAACTCATCTCAGTATTGAAAACATACGGGAAACATGACGCAGTGTAGTGCTGATATTGAAACAAAAGCCATCTCATTCTCTCAGGTGACGTACGGCGGGTTCACCAAGGTCAGCACTCGAAAGCGAAACTGAAACAGGATCCAGTGTGTCGGCACTCTCCCACTGACACTGAACTGCACTATCAAAACTGGTATTAGATGACCACAGAAGCACTGCCTCAGCTATTGCCAACATTCCTGCTTCGTATGCCCTTCTTACTGGCAATTTGCCAAAAATAGGAAATGTAGAGACAATTTAACATCCTTCTCAGCTGAAACTATAGAGATGACCGAACTGAAATGCACAGTATCTTGTCACGCGGATCTAGCCATATGTTTAGTGAATAGATTGTAGGACTAAGCACTCACTCAAAGCTATAAGATTACTGAAATTTCAGTAGCTTATTTTAAGTTTTTTTGGTTCTCCCAATTATATCACACTGCTGTTGACATTTATTAGGCAGGACACAAGTCCACTTTCTCTTTGCAATTTATCTCACTAACTGTATAGGTACTAACATTCAAAAAGTTTTCTAAAACATATAACACAAAAATCAAGACACAAATATAATGTCAATGGTCTTGCAAGAACAATTTTGAAAATCAATAGCTTGCATTTTGTACCCTCCAAACACTGACATACACAGGCTAGAAAAAACCTCAAACCTGTAGTACGTATAAAGCTGCATAAGAAAATATTCGCATTTTACAAACCTACATCTGCATCCACAGTCCCCTCCTTTTTCTCTTTTCCATCTACTGCAACATGAAGAAATTAACATGCTCTGAATGAATAGTAGTAGTGATGTACTCACAATTCAATAGACACACACACACTGAGGGGGATAAAAACAAAATAAAAATAGGCAATGACAAGCACTCTCACTCACTCATCCAGCATTTTGCTGTTTATTCAACTGTACTATGCTGTGGTTTGGTGATAGATATTTCAATGGTATCATCATCTGAAACACTAAATAATGTAAAGTCATTTTTGTCCACAAACACTCACTTTCTACAAAAGCTGACATATTTTCAGTTAACACACTAGAACGCTTCCTGTCAAGACCAAAAACATCTTTCTTGTACAGAAAAAAAAAGATTTCTCAAGTATATTTTTTCTCATCACAGCGAAGGATTTTCTTGAACCACAGAGTTAGTGATCTGCATATAAAGGACAAAGTTTCCAAATTATGATTTGCAAAGCAAGCCAGTATATCGAGGTCCATGAAACACTAACCTACCACTTTTGCTGTTCATTTCTCAATTTTTAAAAAGCTGTGACAACCATTTTGACCATTAACACTTTGCCGCCACAATGCTCATATAGTAAAAACTCTTGCCATCAAAGGCAAAGGCATTTGTGGGAAAATCCAAAGAAATTGGGTGGAAAACATCGCCAATTGGCCAAATGAGGCGGCAAAGTCTTAAAATAAGTTCCTAAGCACCTTAAATACAAATGAATAAGCACAAACCAACAGACAACCATTTTGACCATTAAAATAAGTTTCTAAGCACCTTAAACAAAAACTAATAAGCACAAACCAACAGAAAAAGAAATTACAATTAATAACAATAATAAGATACCTCAATTAATAACAATAATAAGATACCTCAATTAATAACAATAATAAGATACCTAATAGTTTATGCACAATTGGGATCAGAGTAGAAAGTTATATTGAATCGATGTACAAGTAACAACCAGATATCAAATATAAGACTTTTGAGTACAAGTACAATACAAGTAGAGGGGGCCATGGCTATAACTGAACAGGACTGCTGGGACCGACACGATATCCCCGTTATAGCTGAATCCTATTATAGACAAGGACTAAGTTTACATACATTGCAACTAATGATTAACGAATGAGATCATTTTCATTACATCAATTACCCACTACCAATCGACAGTTATTGTTCTTTCCTTTCCTGTGGTATTTTTTCCCCTCATTTTTATTTTATTTTTTGTAGTATCTAAAACTTGTCGAAATTGACTAGACAAACCGTAATTTGAGATGCACGGGTAATACTTTCACTGATAATATTACATTCAGGCATAGATTATATGAACACTGAAAACTCAAAATCATGGACAGCTTGTACAATTTGCCATTCCCAGACTGATACTGATATGGGTCACGACGCAGTGGAATCAGGCGCGCGTCAATTTTTAGGCACATGGAGTTATTGATATCATCTTAAAGCTTGCTTATTTGCATTGCTTTTAATGAAAATATTACCCATCAATCTTGAGTAGAAGTTGAATGAGGAGTGGATAGTCCGGTTTCAGAGGTAAAATTAGTACGAAAATGGCCGCCAAAGTTTTGTGACATCCAAAGCTGGAGAGTCCTTGGAAACTGCAAATTGACATTTGTTGTGCCTTTGATCGGCATCTTTCAGTAAAATCCACCATTAAATATACGTTTTTAAATTACATAAAAGGTGTAGAGCCAAAAAAGGAAAATTTGTTTTAAATTGCCAAACAGCCATATAAATGCCAAATTTTTTTATTTCATTATTTTGACAAGCGCCTAATTTCACCAAGATACCTCACATATATCTTTGATTTTTCGCTGTATGTTTACCCGAATTGTGGATGTGTTGAACACATTTGCCAATCCCCAACGTATCTGAGTCATCCAAGCCCGACTGTAATAACCTTTAAATAGAGCATACCCTTGCTTCACATAGTCTACAGCAAGCTCTGTGCATTTTAGTGTTTACAATAATTCAGAATGGAATAGTTACCACAGCTGAGAAAAGGATCACACATAGATCTGTGGTATAACTAGCACCCAGAGCCTTCATTTCCATTCAATTTTTAATTCCTGTAACAAGTCTCCGCCACCCCACGAGAAGACAATGTGATGATGTAGTGCCAGTCCAAGGTCACTCTAAATAATTCACTAGATTTGCATCAACAGAAAAGAGCATCCAGCTTTCTCCCTCCATCACCTGGACACATGGTAAAGACATACAACATGTACACAATCAACTTTGGTCTCCTGTGGATCACCTGGGTACAATTCACCATGTTGGATGTTGTTTTACTTCATTCCCTGTTTTCTGATTTTTTTAGTCTGTATGTTTTAGGACAATGATTTTGTCAATGATAGGAGGACTGTTATAACCCAGCATGCCTGTTCGAATGCCTGCTATAAAACAACTTTTTTGCTATACAACATAAGAGATTGGACTCGCACATTTATTTCAAGCCTTGTATATCTGAAATCCTGTAACAACCGAGACTGTTATATGTGAGACCCACTGCACTGTGGTAAGCTAAGGATTAAATAGTTCAGAACAACATAACTTTCACTGTTCCTAGATTCTCTCTCTCATAAGCTCGTTCTCTCTCTTTCTTCCTCTCTCTCCCCCTTGAAGTCTTTATACTCTATTATTACCCTGACCTCTACACACACACACACACACACCTCTTTCATTCAGCCCATTTCCATTCCTCTTTTTCTCTTCTTTTTTTTTTTTGGACCACTCCTTTACTCTCAAATTCCTGCACACAAATCAAAGACGAAATGGATACACACATAACTACACTTAACAATACCCACAGTTCAGCATCTGTATACATTAACATTCCACCCATGTGCTGCTCTTTATTTTCGGCTATGTTTTAATCTTAAGAGTCCAAAGAGCTGCTAAGCGAAAACAAACCCCATTAGAATACTTATTCTCAACACCACCACCCTTTTCCCCTAACATAAATTTCTATCCATCTTTTGAAAGTACATTGTACCTATCTTGTACATAAACTTTCTTGTACACGAACTATGCCTCTACCAAAATATCTTAAGGGCAGTAATGCAGTATTCTAGTCTGTGCACACCTCCATATGATTTAACAGATCCTTATTCTGACTCTCTGAAAACTCTTTATTGCATTTTGGACATGTCATATACTCTCCCTTTTCTCCATTTTTCTGAGGCCTTCTGCGAGGTGGAGGCATAGATGTGAGCCCAGTCCTTGCTTCTAGCACTTCGTCAGTAGAATCTCCCCCAACATTCCTAGGGAGACTCAAGAACTCCAGTTCTGCATTCCTCAACTGATGAGCTCCAGTCGCAAGTTCTGACGGATCATCTGGGCCCACTCCACTGTCACGAGAACTACCACGGGAGTAGGGGCCTCCAGCAGCATTGTTTTCCTCTCGTGTTTCTGGAGGTGTTGACATAGAAGAGGATGGCGATAGCGACGATGAGCCTGTTGAAGAGACGGGAGCTCGTCCTCTCACATCAAACAAGGCTCTGTTGGCTAGAATTGCAGGCTGATGACCACGGGCTTGGAAAACAGGAAGCTGATTCATTCTGCTGTAGTCCGGTCTGATGGTCTGAAAACAGTCAGAAGAAAAAAGAGAACAACTTAAAATTAGTGATGTATAAAAAGTAGCCTTTAGTTCTTCCAAGTCATGACAATCTGTCAAACAGAGACAGGCATAAAATCACACTTTCAATTGCCAAGTGTTCTAAGGAAAAACTATCACTACCACTTTTTTTATCCTGAGAGATGGAATGTTCAAAGACAAAAGAGGAAATACTGAGTATTTTGCTGGGGTAAATCAAGTACTGTATTAACCCAAAGAAAACAGTAAGAGACAACACATCAAGATACGGAGAAATAAATAACTGATATAGATCTGGCCTATGGAGACGAATAAATACCTGACTTGCCTACTGAGACCCATTATTAGTTTTTACCTTATTACACATATATATATATAAACAGCCTTGTGTAGACACTAGCTCACAACCAGTGAGGAGAGTAGAACTTTTTTTAAAGTATAAAGTAAATTCCATTCATATGTCTTAACTGTCACACTGCTCTGTCATGAGGACAAACTGAACAAATAGCCTTAAAATCCATATCTCTGGGAGACAGTACACTATTATTTTGTATATTCAGGCCTGCATCAAATTATAGGTGTAACTTACTGCAGCAGTTCACATTTTTACTCCGTGTAGACAACACATCCTTCACACATAAAATCATTTCAAAACCAAAACGTTCACAAGTAGACACTATGCATGCCAACCACTGAACTACTACAGGATAGAGGCCTCCTAAAAAAACTCATAATAGGCAATAAATGATGCAAAACTAACTAAAGGAGAAAGTATAAAAGTTGTAAATTATGTTACATGAAACCAAAAAAAATTTTAACAGTACCTGATGCAACATTTGCTTTTTCAGGAAGTCAGATTCAGTTTTCACTGCATTGTTCTGCAACACAAATTTTTTAATATATGCTCATTTTCAAGTGCAATTCAAAGAGGGAAAAAAAATGTACACAAATTATAAAAAAGAATACATTATCATACGCAACTAAAACTTTATTTACTCACTTGCAGTTAATTTTAAAAAGAATTTCAAATTCACATTTCACAGTTATAAGTTTTTAAAGAACTACACAAATGACCCAAATAAGGGCTACCTGAAGCAAGCTAGTTAAAAATTTCAGGTCGTTCTTTTCACTTCTCAGTCAGCATCATCTTAAAGATTTGTTTTGTATGACAAAAGCTCAATATTACTGAAAATAGTATTGTCTTTTGAGCTACAGCTTAATGAAGTCCTATTTGAAAAAAAAACCAACTAAAGAAAACACAGGAAATAATCTTGCAGCGGAAGAAACAAAGAAATCTTGCCATCTCAATGTTTTTCTGAGCCTAATACGGTACTAAGAAATCTAGCTAAAGATGCTAATAATTTAAAAATTACTCACCCAAAGGAGGCCGAAACTCACCTCAGCTAATAACCTGTTCACCTCCTCCTGCAACTGCTTTGCTTTATTAACAGCCTTCTCCCTGTCTTTACGTTCATTATTGAAGTCCTCTGTACACACTTGAATTTGCTGTTTTAGTATTTCCACAATGCTCATGTCAAACTGTGGTTGTTGCCTCTGAGCGGCAACTTCTTGTTTTAACTTGTCACATTCTTGGACAGATCTTCTTAGTTGAACATTTTCAGCTTCCTTGTGGTCAAGATGGACTCGCAGCAATGTTATTTCCTGCAAAAAAGGTACAGAAATTCATAAATATACATAATTTTGACACTTTGAGTCGTAGATTCGTGTTTCTAGCAATGCAATGATACCATAACCTAAGGAAAGAAATGATTTCCAGAGAAAAAAATAATTAGTTTCAGGAATAGATTAATCATTATCACACATATACTGATTCAGTGCCCTACTAAGCTAACAGAGCAACATCTGTTGCATTTCAGAACTAATCAATCTTTTTTTTCTGGGTAAAAGAGAAGCACAACCAACGATAGTAGCTCATTAAGTGCTGGGAAAAACAAGGACAGACACTCGGGAACATTAAAGACACATCAAAAGGATTAACCTATTTGATCCATCTGAACAGGCCGTAATTATAAAATCTTCTTGAAACATCTCAAGCACATTCTCTGCATCCCTCTTGTACCCTTTCCTTGCCCTTCCCCTCTCCTATGTCAAAGTGAGACTATGTGCCATCTTTGAAGAAAACTAGTACAGACTTTTGCATCAAGAGAGGTCCAGACAAATTTACAACAAAGCAGCAAGCAACAAATATACCACAAAGAGGTGCTGAGAAGCACATATCAAAAGCAGGCAGTGAGAGAAGGCATCATACACTCATCAGGAAAAAAAAAGGTCTTAGTTATTAAAATGGATAATGTGCCTAGCTTCCACAAATTAAAATTGTACACATACTCACAGTAGACTAGATCTATTAAAATTTAAACCACTTGAACTGAAGTGATTTCTACATGTGTCAATGGGAAGTTATGTAAAGAAGAAAATATATTTTTTCCACAGATGCACAGTATCAGAAGAAAACCGGGAAGACATAAGTTGATTTGGAAGCATAAGAACACAGAAGTACAGAAAAGGAGTTATCTAGTAGAAGTGAGTTTTGAGATGTTTTACCTGTTTCAAATTATCAGTTGCCGCATTGATCATGTGACTCATCTGGTCTGCTTCTTCCAGTTCGCTGATCCTGGCTTGAAGAGCATGCACCTCTTTCTCTTTATTATCACTGTGACTCTGCCATCGGTGGTTCATCAACACAACCTGTGCGATCAGGCAAAATGTACTCAATGTTGTTTTGACCACGCCATAACTTCTGACCAATGAGATGGCACAGCAAATGCTCAAAACATTATAAAGAATTTTTAATTCATGACTTGACTAGAAATATTGATAAAGTGTGCACATTAAAACAGGCTCTCATATTCATAAAATAAGGAAGAAAAAAAAACACTCTCAAAATCACACATGAAGCAAATACAGGGAACCCTCAACTCTTAAGGCCAAGAGTCAATGCTCATTTTGAAACTCTATAGTTAATGCACCAATCTGAAATCTCTTAAAACATTCGATTTGAGATGAACTATGTACTATGATTTTTCTTTTTGATTTCATTTTAATTAAAAGACAACCATTTAAATTTGTGTCAAGTATTTATTACAGTAGTCTTCGCCTAAACGCACGGTGCTCGGGAGGGCTCCTTAGCGTGTGTTTACACGGAGCGTGCGTTTACATGAACCTTTGCAAGGGGAGGAAGGGACGCAGTCATCTCAATTCCTGATTACTCTAGTGACCTCCCTTGGAGAGAGGGGGTCATTTTGGCAGATAATGTGACGACACGTGACTGTTTTGTGAAGGATTCCCCGACAGGGATTAAGAATACAAAGGCGTTGAGTGGGGGGGGGGGGGGGGGGAGGAAGACAAACCCAATGTAATGAATATGCACTATAAACGTCGGGAACAGATAGCCTAAGAGGAAACTGTTGGTCATAGTCATAGAGTCGACGGACCGGCCACGTGGCTTTCCAAGCGACCACCCCCGACCATAAATTCATGCAGAATCATCCTCGAGAAACATTTTCTCTTGTGATTCGTTGAACAAGTACGTTATAAGTTCTTAGAGTACAGCTGATTAGGCTTACTAGGCTAATCTTTAAAATCCTATAGAGGCCTGTCTAGTGTTTGACGGCATTCACAAGTGTCGCGCATCAGGCCTAGGTTTAACTAAACATTACATGCAGTCACCCAAACACCAGTCAGAAACCTTCTCTCAAAGATACATTTCCAGTGACCAATCAAAAAACATTTCAGTTTCCCCCTCCCAACATTTAACCGACCAGCCCTAGATCGAGACCTATGTGTGGTGTGTAAACGGCAGTAAACGCAGTCCATTACTCTCTTTGTACAGCGAGAGGGGCACTCTCACCAAATATCCGGTTTTCTAGTAAATTCTAGGCTTGTCTTATGCAGGCTGTGCAGGTTGTCATGAAAATTGCCCCTTGCTAAGCTTAATTTGTCGGCGTGTTTCGCGGATCGAAGCGTGCGTATAGAGGGAGTGACCGTGCGTTTGTACGTCTAAATTATATAGTAAAAAACCCGTCAGATGACGAAAGCGTGCGTTTGAGCGGAGCGTGCTTTTGTATGGCGTGCGTTTAGGTGGATAAATACTCATAACATGACCTAAGTCACATTATTACAGTCAAAGTTTTTATTACTGCCCCCCTCCCCCCCCCCCCCCCCCCCCACAACCCCCTTCCTCGTTGTATCCCCAGCCCACTGTTACCGTCCAGTTTTGCCAGTGAGCTGTAAAGAATGCCAGTAATAGAAATACTACAGAAAAAAAAAATCTGTGACCGAACCGAGGCTCTAACCTGGACTTTCTGCTTTCGAGACAAGCGCACTAACCACCCCGCCACCACAAGCTACAGGCTTTAAAAATACTGCAACAGTGCTTTGCGGTTGTGTTGCCACCGAGAACGAAAACAAAGTGGGAATCCCTCAATGATGTCAAACAAGATGGCTTTACTATAAATATCGGCCAATGGCGTACATCTGTCGTTCTCAAGTTATCCGCATGTGAAACCTGGTGCCATCTCATGAAGTTTTAGACTAAGGGAAAAGACTTAATAATATTGTCATTCATCCAGTGATGGCAGAATCATTTCCCTTGACATTGGGGAGTTGGTGCTACTAAACAGAGGACAAAATTACACCCTGTCATACCGCCTTGTTTAATAAAAATATATTTCACTCTATCACACATTTACTGCTCCCTTTCCATCAGATGTAAAAATAAACAAAGAAAAAAGCCTTATAAAAATTCTTCTCACCATCAATCTCTTCTTCACAAAAACAAACTAACAGAAAAATACAAAGTTTTGGCTGCAGAAAGTTGTTAAGTTCTTAACTCAGTCATTACGCCGAGCCGTGGGGGGCGGCGCGGCTCAAGTGCCGTCAGTACGTTAGGCCGTCCCCGGCGGCTCGAGAACCGACGTTCAATTTTAGCTTGGTTTCTATTCCAATACACTTATCCATGTTAAAATAAAGGTCATAATATAATGTTGACTTCCGGGTCAAGCGTTTCCACCGAAAATCGGAAGTTTTGATTCAGTTTTGAAACATGATTTCGTAGTCTATTCGACTTTGTTTTATCGCGAAGCCCAAATTATAGCCCAGACACTAGTCTAAGTACTTTTACACAACAAAATGTATAATTATTTTGCTCACTAAAGAAGTGTAGGTCTCTTCTTTATAATATTGATACTATCGGACGCAAATTGCCGGTGCACTGTAATTGAGAAATCAATATTTTTGAGTGCTAGATCTAGGCCTAGATCTAAATAGTCAAAATATTTTTTTCTCCCCAAAATCACTACTTTTGGGTGAAATTAATCAAAAAGTACCACTCAAGACATGTATAGGTTTATTCCAAGTGCAATTCTGAATAATTCCATATAAGTTACGCGTATTTTTTTCTGTTTGTGATCCTTTTTTCAAAATTATTTTTAAAATTATTTTTTTTCAATATCGGATGTTATGATCCAAATGTACAAATATTATGGAATGTATGTAAATAACTGCACATTTTTTAACATTTTCCTGTTCTATATACAGTTATGGTTATTTTGAGGTATCATTTGACTAGGTGCAAACATGTTTTTTTAGTTTCACCTGACTGAGATTATAAAATTTTTATTTTCCAATTTTATCCGCATCCAATCACAATTGTGTTGCATAATCGCCTCTTACAGGAACCAAAGTTGAAAAATACGCAAATAAATAATGCAGGTGTATTCTACAAACCATACTGAAAATGTTGGTACATAATATATTGATATTTATTTGAATTTATGGCCCCAAAGACCTGTGAACTGCGCACTAGTCATCATCTCATGTCGCCCTCCCGAAAAGAATTCGTCCACAAGCCGAAAATAATACGTAGCGAATGAGTTAAATCATATCATACTTAAATAAGCTGGGCAGAGTCCAGGCATAATGACCTACTTTATATATCTGGTTCATGACAATTATTACTTACTTTTTCATAGTTACGCTGCAGTTCTGCATATTTCTCTTCTGTTATGCCGAGCTCCTGTGGAGGAATCAAATATTGTGATGAAAATAAAAGGTCAACATGCATCAAAACAGCACATTCAACATCAACAGCATTTCGATAAAAATTGGTTGTAATGAACAGAAATGAAAGAAACACTGTGCAACGCTGAGGCTTTAAAAAATTGAATCTAGCTTTATAGCCTGTTTTTGACATGTTAGACCATTTCTATTTATTTTCAGGGACATTAATGATAGGTATTTCAATCACAGTCAAAATTTGAAAACTCACTTGCACTTGAGACTCAAACATCCCTCATCTTCCAAAAATAGTTGACTTATAATACTTTTACAGGTACAAAGTCACATATTGTACTCAAAAAAGAGTCATGAGGCTGCATAATCATAATCTTCAGTCACATCCCGAGAAAATAGCCCAAACTATTTTTGTTGCCAAATAGGGCAGAAATTAGAAAAAGTCTCTTGTACAGTGACCCCTGAGGATGTCTGCTATATTATGGGGTCAGTTAGATAAATAAAGGTAAAAACAGTATAACACAGATAGCTTAAATTCGTCGGGACCAGCCTCGGTAGTTCGGGGGATTTGCAGTTCAAGGGATATATCTTACAAAGATAAAAAAAGAAAAGAAAAAAACCCAGACCGCAGGCACAGTTCAATGGATGCATGATTTCCAGTCTTCTGTGTTCGACCTATCCATGTTATACCGTGCATAGGTTTTTAAAAACCCTCATTTAAATTAAGCCCTTTTATGAGTGTCCTAATATAACATAATATTCGAAGGTTCACAGGGAATAAAAATATGCTCAACACATTGTGTGTATGGAGCGAAAGGTGCAGAAATACGATATTTTGTAATTTGAGCCAGTTACTATTTTTACATACATGTATGCTGGCTTTTTTCATGTTTCCAAAGTTCAGCAACTTTTGGGGAGACATTTTTGTAGGTCTTGTGTACATTTTTTTTTCACAGCTCCAATCAAAAGCAGTCAGACACAGAGTAACATGGCCAAACCCTGCCTTGAATTGCCTCGCTGTCCATACATAATTTGTGGGACTGTTTAAGAGATGCAGAGATTACCTTTGCAATGTTATAAGCCCATTTCAACCATAAGGCATAATGCCAACTCTCTGAAAACTGTTGATAATTCCAAGGGAAAATCTTGACTTCTCAACCTCCATGGCCCACACTGGAACAAAATCATTTTACCATAGACAAATATCTTCAATGATCTCATGGCAACAACAATAATCAGAACACTGATGAAAACAACATCACCTTTTCATTTGTCTCATTCCTCTTTTGCTGCTCTTCTTTCACCATCTGAGTCTTTTCTAGCTGACTTTGCAGCTGGACACATTGTTCTGACACTTGTTTCAGAGACGTCCTCAAAACTTCCATCAAGGATTGTGGAAGGTCGAAGGTTTGTGTCTCTTTACACTCCACACTTATATCAGATCTTGTAACAGCCACATTTTCTGAGTGCGTTTTCAGTTCCATTTCATATTGTTGAACTATTCTCATCTTCATATTTTCCATTTCAAATAGCTGAGCTTTCAACTGATTGTTCTCAGCTTCAAGTTTTTCCAACGAGGCCTTCATGGATTGTACATCCTGGTAAAACAATATAGTATAGTATTATACAGTGTCAATATACAGTAATAAAAGTTCACATCAAACTACTTTCAAATGACTCAAATCTAGTATAACTATAACAATTTTGTCACAATGCTCTGACCTTTTTAAACAATTATTACATTTCTGAAACAAATATTTTTAACAATCAACCAACTTTAAGCATACCACAAATTTGATGAGTCCTCTTGAATACAAAATTTCACTTTAGACTTAGACTTTAGTGGAAAAAAATTCTCTTATTCTGTCTCAGTTCACAAAATATTATAACATTTGAATTTGGCACCTTTTATTATTTTTGTCCAAACAGATGAAAAAGAGGATTTGAAGGAACAAGTAAGCTAAAGGCTAAAGCAGTTCAAAGACGCTAATCTATTTCTATCCCACACGATTAAAATCTGACACAGAAAAGAAAGGTACAGACCAGCCTCTTTGAAAATAAGAATTTCAAGATTTTGTTATCTTACTGTATGTCAGAGTAGGTAAGAGTTTATATCCAAACAATCAACAAGTCAGGACACATTCAAATTCAATAGCTCTACTACGATCTCTCTATTTTGACTCTTACCTCTGTCACCTTTTTGCCAGCTGGATTTTCTGAATTTTTCAACTGACTTCTTAATCTTGCATTCTCTCGAGCCAAATTGTCTAAAGTTTGCTTTGAAGGACCAGGCACAAACAATTCAGTTTCTTCGATGTTCACACTGTTAGATGACATGGAAAGAAAATATTTTAGATGCAACAAAATTATATATGAATCAACACAACAATAGACTCAAATTCAAAGGCATTTTTGGAGGATCTTTTTCTATTGATGTATGAGTGTATTATAAGGTGTGGGTAATCTAAGAGGTTAGGCTTCCGGACTCGTAATCGTGAGTTTGTGGCTTCGAGAGTTTAAGCCACGGGCCCGACGTTGTGTACTTGGGAAAGGAAATTTTCACAAATTTTCCTTACTTCACCTAGGTGGGAATGGGTACCCAGGTATAGACAGCAAACAAATTTGTGTTAGTGTTTGAGCACCTGGTCTATAAATGGCAGCTTATACGTACGGTATGCTTCCCAGGAAGTTGAGATTGTTTCAGAATGATATCAGGTCTGCTGGAGTAATTGTCTTGTAAAGAGCATAGAAAGCTTGCTGTTGAGCAGGTATTTGTGCTATCTAATATTATTATTGTAGGCCTATGCTTGACATGGAACACACCTTCAAAACAACTAAGACAGAAAAAAATGGTGTAATTTTTCCTACTAAATAAACAGTTAAGACTGGAAATGAAGAACTAAAGTACAGCCCAGCTCTTGTTTAAAAAAATGAAATGAAAGACTGAACACAACATTTTGCTCACCTTTGCATACCGTTGACTGAACTATAAATTTTCTCAGAAAATAATATAATAATATACTCACCTGCTCGACAATCCATTTGTTGAAAGTCTGTTCTGAAGATTTGCTACTGCTGTCTCTAACACTTTGCACTGCTTTGATAATTTTATAACGTCCCTCTTGGATTCTCGCAACATTAGACTGACAGTGTCTACTCCTGCACAGCGGTTCTTGTACACAGATAACTGGTCATACATTTCTTTGAGAACAACCTTTAAGTTCGAGACATGCTGCCTGTGGAATGTAACCAAGTAATGATAAATATAGTCATTATAGTCATTTTAACTCGGGGAAATATTGAGATTAAATTCCTTTAAAACATGGTACTCACAAAACTATACTACAGAACGAAACATTGACATTGAATTAGTCTCATAATTCAATGTATCCAATAGAGGAAGTAACATCATGAAATCATTTACAAACCCAGCACTTTATATCATAAAAGACAAACATAGACAACGCCATTTTTCTTAATATGATATTTTTTGGTCAGCCTGGCCATCCCTTTCACGCTGCTGGCTAAGTTTTAAAAAATAGCACACATTGTCATTTTTCAGAAAAAATACTGTTCAATGTTGACACTCACAGGGAGGCTAATGCTTCAGAAAAAGATAGAAGTACTTACTATACACCCTATTCACTCAAACAAAATAAACTTTTTTCTAAAATGTAGGTTGTATGTTTACGCCCCCTTTGTTGGTGCTTTTTCGGTAGTTCCCACCCCCCTTATTTGACTATTTGAGCCTTGATCTACATCTAGGTCTATATACGTTTGATGCGCGGCAAGCTAAGATATCAAACCTAATAACTGCAAAACATCAAATTAGGTAAAATTCAGGGGGGGCCCTGAAACCCCCCTACTCTTGGGGCCAAAACCCGCGACCCACAATGGCGGGGTGGGAACTACCGAAAAAACGCCCATTAGTTTACATTATAACAAAAATTCATGAAACATAATAGATCATATGGGAGGTAGGCTTCCAACCGCATGCCTGCCTGGGCCAGCCTGAGCTGAGTGGGATGTACAGCACCTCAGCAGAAAAATCGAGGGTCTCCTACAAGATCAGCAAAGCGCCTTTAACCACCCACAGATGATATATATAGGCTCGCCTTCGATAAAAATAGGCTATACAAAATTATAAGGCCTACTAAATCTAGATATAGAGATCTACATACCGTAAAGCATCTCTTTCTTCCTCTACTGCCATTGCTCCTCCAGGTACTCGAGGAGTAAGGGTTTTCTTTGACATTACAGTAGACTCGTCAGGATCAGATGTCAAGTCAGCACCCAGTTGTAGAACATTTTGATCTGCTCTTGGGAAAGCAGTCTCTGTAGTTGTATTTGTATATTTTTGAGGAATTTCTGTGCTTTCAGAATCCATTAGACTAAGAATAAAGATCCAGACTATCTAGGTCTAGATCTAGATCTAGATAGATCTAGATCTATATATCAATATATCTAGAATCTAGATCTCTACTGCGCACCAACCAATGATAGTAGTAGACTAGAATCTAGATGATTGTACAGTAACTATTCTATGTACTACTATCATGTACGTGACATAATGTTCTCTCGGTCTCAGATGTAGAATCTAGCTCTAGATTCTAGATCTAGATAGATCTCTAGTCAATAGTCAAACTGATCAATTTAATATCAACTTGGTGGGCAGGGGGACAGAACAGTGGCACTATCACAAGCTTTCACTTTCAAGTTTCATGCCTCTCATTACTCTCAACCGTCTTAACCTCTCAATCCCGTAGTCTTGTAGTCTGTTTGAAAACACTTCTGGATCAAGATAGAATCACTCTGACAACACATTGACCAGAATTCTCTTGATGATGATAAAACAGAAACCATCCGACAAGGATATTGAATCAAGGCCAATGGATCGACTGACTCATCTGTGCCTCAGTCCAGTCTAAAATCTACTTCGCACTTAAGACTAGGATCAAGATCAAGCCTAGGCTATGTTTCACTTCCCCGATAGATTTCTAGAACCTAGATCTATCATCCGAGTAAAAATAGATCTAGATCTAGATCTAGGCCTAACGATCCAAATAATAAGGTCTAGATTAGTTCGCACTTGATGGAGTAGATCGGTGTCAATTTTACTGCTGGGATATGCCCATGTCTAATCTAAGCGGAAGCGTAGGCCTTGGAGGGGGGGGGGGGGGGGGTTAATTGGTGTAATGTCATTTTGGTGACGGATTTGGTTCTTTGGGCTTTCCTTCTGTCTAAATTTAGATCAGAGAGGGTTTACAGTAATAGAGAGGTGACACTCGTGGCGGCGCTCCATAACAACCTTGGAGCTTATCGGGCCTGCCGCCATCTTTGTAAGTTCAAAACAATGCAGCGTACGCAGCGTAATCTCCTTTCAAAACAAGCTGCTCGGACTCCATTTTCTCTCAAAATTTCTTCGTCAATGTTAATTACAGCATTATAAGCACTCACGTACAGTTGTAATGTAATAAGGATGTTAACAAATCTTACTTGCATCAAATTTCCAGCTCATTTAGTCGAATTATTACAGTAACACGTGTACTATGTATACACATTGTGATGGTAAGATATTCTGTTTTACATGTTTTAGAGACGAAATTGGGATAATAAGGATCAAAACAAAATTATAAACGGGATGATAACATTTGCTGAGTTTTTGGAAGTCGAACTTCATTATTTTTTACAAAAAACGAAGACTTCTTGATAGTAACAATATAATAAGGACAGCAAGAAATCTTACTTGCATCAAATTACCAGCTCACTCAGTCGAACATTTGGTAATACATGTACTATGTATACACGTTGTGACGGCAAGATAACTTTTTAAAAACTTGTTTTAGAGAAGAAATTGGGATAATAAGGATCAAAACAAAAATATAAACGGGATAACAAAATTTGCAGACTTTTCGGTCATAGAACTTCATCAGTGCAAAATGATATCATCACTGACATTATTTTTACAAAAACGTAGTCTTCTTGACTTAAACTTACAACAGAATATATTTCTAACAAAATTGAAAATGATTACACAAAAGATGGTAGTGAGAGTGGGATGGGATGGGCGAAGAATGAGGAAGGAGAGGGCAAGGCAGATAAGAGTGAAGTATGAAGGTGGAAATTACCCCCCCCCCCCACACACACACACACAAAAACAAGAATAAAACAGCCCCCCCCCCCCCCCCAAATAAAGCGAGGAGGGAGGGGCACCTTTAAAACACCAAGACACTTTATCTAAATTTTACCAAATACTGTTAAGGGTATTGAAAAATTAATAGAGAATTTGAAATGATAGGCTTATAATAATAAGATTTTCAAAACAGATTGCACTAATTTATGACATTTCACTCTTGACAATGTCACACCCCATGCACAGACAGACGACACGTGGCATCAAAAATGTTATTCACACACCAAACACACTTCAATGACATTCTTTGAAGGCACTGTCGAACCTCCGACGAGACTTCAAAAAACAGCAAGGAATTTACTTTTGACACATTGGAGTCAACAAAGGCACCGATGCAGGTTTCACATTTTCAAATGCTTTGTCAACCTTAACAACACAAAACCAGCAATGTAAGCAACATGCAGAGCAAATTGACAAGTATGCTAGAGTAGATCTAGGCACATACGTGCAGTTATCATCATGGCAAACTGAATTTTCTGAAATCTTTTTTTCATTCTGTTTTTACTGTGAGATGCATTTACGGCTAAATCAGAAGGCATTTCGTCATCAAGTTCAGTGCCATTGCTAGAGACTGATATTTTTAAAAACATTTGGTAGGAAATTTTGAATTTTGCCTGGGTGGCGACCGAAGCCTACTCTTATCGATTTTAGACCACCAAGGGACCTTTAATTTACGCAATTTGCATACGCGACCTCCGAGATTTTTTCGCCCTTGTCCGAGAAGGCTAGGGGTAGATCTTTCCTACCAGAAGATCAGGGGTGTGGCTGAAAGACAGAGGTAAGAAGGAGCCAAGGAGTAGCAGTAGAAAGGCTGCAGAAAGAGTCCGGAGCCCTGAGGAGGTAGGGGCAGAAAGTGGAGGTGAAAGCAGACGAAAGAGAAAGTAGAAGTTTAGAGAACAAAATTTTTCCGTCACTACTCGGATTCGAACCCAGGACCTTTGAATGAGAGGCCCACCGGACCCGAACGCTACGCAAACTGCCATTCGGTTGACACTAAGTTTACAACTGAGAGAACTGAGCTGATCTCACAAACATGGCCGACCGTCGCCTGCAGCGGCTTCACGTTACGCGACTCGCGGCCTCTCCTATTATAGTTCCTCCAAGATAACAACAGTGCATTGTTTCGCGTATCGCCCGGCGCGGGGTGCGAAAACACTTACGCGCGGTGATCGCTGCCACGGCGATGCTCAGGGATGCTGTCATGTCATGACAAAATGTAGTACCGTTTGTAGTTAGTTCATTAGGTTACTAGGCCTTTAACAAAGAAGGAGGCCTGTTATTTCTATCTCATATTTAAGGCAACCCCCTGCCTCCCTCGGCCATAAACTGTAAGACTTGTTTTTGGCTTAAGTTAACATACATTCTAATAAACAAATAGACGCAGATACATTACTTCGTCTCTATAAATCTGAAAAAATAATATCAAAGTAATTAAAGGAATACCGTAATCGGTTTAAATAACAAAGCGGAAGTGTATTCAGTTTGTGCATGGAGTGTCAGTGACAGTCTGGTAGGACCACAATCACATTGTCACTATTTTGATCTATATTTTTCTATTCATCAAAATATATTCGTCCTCCTTTGGAAATCGAAAGAAACTCAGATTTTGATTCTAATAGGTGCAGTTTATAGCAGAACACCATTGACATTTTGTGCTAGCCGGGGCCATGCTTGTCTGCGATCAACGAAAATGCCTAGAACAATGAATGCAGTTTGTTTTGTTTACCGCGCGTTTCTCCACGATCAGCTGGTGACCCAGATACGCGCATCCGGGCGAAGTGCCCTCTCTCTAGTATTACTGTAAACTCTCTGATTTAGATTCAACTTTCAACCCGGAGGTTACCAGAGACTCTTAAATAATTAAATACTCTCTGATTGTACCCTGTAGGCCTACACACACAACATATATTTTTGGGACAGCAGGCCTTATTTCCGGTCTCCTTGCTCCCCTTGGTAACCAGCAGAGCAGAGGGCATCTGGTAACCAGTTTGCTGCGCGTATAAAGCGTAAACAAACGACAGGAATTAGAAAGCGGACCGTTCAACTGCCTACTTTGATTTTCATAATGGCAGTTTTGCCTTGTCTTTTTTCATATAAACTGTTTGGTGCTTATTTTAACTGGCTTTTGTTCACATTTTGAATATATAGATATTTAGATCTGGGCCTAGTGAGTTGAGGATTAAGCTTTTTATGAACGGAAAGCGGTAGTGAGTTGAATATGTTCAGTGACATGATGATGTAGATCTAGGAGTTTGCGAAACGGTAGAAGGAGATTGGATCTTTCAGTTTAAATACGACAGAACAGACAGTAGTGTTCTGCAATGAACTGCTCTCTAACAGAATATACAATAGATTGGATATTTTTTTTATAACTAAAGATACACTGATACAGTCCGAGGTGCCAGACGAGGGTGAAGATAGGATCTGCTGAGCAAGTAACCAGAATGTCTCTTTTCTTAGAACGTTCTCTGCTCTGAGTCTTGAGCACTTTGCGGAGTCTCAGTTTCTTGGTGCTAAGGCAAACCAACAGAAGCGTGCAATACAGCCATAATATGTGTTATTCAGGGGCAGCTCGTGGGGCTAAAAAGTGGGCGTGCACAATTAAGCTGTCATTCTTAGGCTGAAGATAGTCAATTTCATAGTAAATGGGATGGTGTTTAATTTTAGGATCTTTGGGTTGGTGAGGGAGGGCATAGTGGTTTTATTTTCATTCTTTTTACTTGTCGCTTTGATTTCTAGAGCTAAATCTGTTTGTTAGTTAAACATCCAATTTCGTTCATCCTGCGCTGGAACTGAACACTCAAGTAATAACTTTCACCACTCCATTTCCAAACCATTCAAAGGAACAACTCATAGGGCGGGGACTTAAGTATGTCACGTTCACCTCCCTCAGATTCACGGTCACAGAGTCGCTTAAAATAGTGGCAAGACAAGGAACCAATCACTGTTTACTTGAGCACTCCTCCGGATTGCTCCGGGGATCACATAATTTTGGCATTGAATAGTGTACAAGCTATCGTGTTTATTTTTAGACTCCCTGCTGTGTGCTATGTTTCGTGGGTGCACCGTGCACCTTTGAGATGTGCTGTCTTATTAATATTAATGTACCGCCAAACTCGCTACGAGTGTCGTCATCGCTGGGGTTATCCCAAAGAGCGATTTATAGGTCAGACAGCCACTGTTGAATATTCTATTACGTTTAGTTTAAGCACGTGGACTTTGGCATGGCGTTGTAGATGTTTTAGGGCGCTTTTGACACAGAAATGACAGTTACAGCTCCAGCGAGGACCTTGTTTAGATATTATATTTGGCTAGCGTTTGTTTCTGACTTCTTTTATTTGATGTTTGTGGGTGCTTTTCGTAATATAACTTTTTTAAAATTTGGGCGGCACTGCATGGCCGTCCTCTATGGACGAACTGCGCCTGGTGTTATTCAAAGTTCCCAATCCCCGTGTACTCTAAAAAGAAAAAAATCACCCCCAAAAGGACTTACAATGCCAACGAAAGGCTCATGCTCTTTTACAACATGGAAATTCCTCAATCTCAAACATCATTTTCACAAGTGGATTTTCCTTTTTTAAAATCTTGGTTCTTTTATCTAGCCAAGAATAAGCTATTTTTTAAAAATTATTTATATAAAGAATAATAGAAGCGAAACCCTATCACATTGTGTATGTTAACAATGTAGGCCTAGATCTAGATTTAAACTGAATTCCTAAAATTATATATCTAGACCTACGCTAGAGATCTAGGTCTAGATCTAAAGGTTTATTATCTTGGCTATCTAGAATACAGAGATATATTGTTGTTGATTTTAAAATAAAGAAACTGCCCCAGCAGCCGCTCGAAATTAAACGTGAAAACATTGAGAAAGCGTTACAAAAGATAACAAACTCAACTGGCGGGTCCACACTTCTCTCCTGCATAAAAAAAGTGAACAAAATACTATTTTTCTA